TTCGGCTATCACACTTGCATGCTTAGCTTATACACTGACTGAACGAGATACCGTCCCCCTCGTACCACTTGCGTCTCGACCAAGAGCTGCCATGAAATTCAGCTCAGCTCTACAATTTAATGCCGTTCCCGAATGGCGTGACAACTATGTTGACTATGGAGCGCTCAAAAAGCTTCTGTATGCTTTGGAAAAAGAGAGCCTGCGTCCTCCGAATGGACAAGAATCCGCGGCATTGATGGCCCGTGATCCTGAGCCTGCTTTTACACAAGCATTAAACCAACAGCTCAAGAAAGTGGATTCTTTCTATCAGACTGAAGAGGTCAAAACATACGAAAAAGAAGATGCATTATGCGAGGAGGTGTCCGCTTTTGATTTTCCGGGTAGTCCAGTTTTGGAACCAGGCACTTCTACAAATCCGGGCATACGCAGTGAGGCATCCGATTCCAGTGAAAATGAAATGAACACGTCGACGTTGGGAGCTGCACATCGACGGAAACGAAAGAACAGCACTGCTCGCAAGATGGACCATCACGATGAGTTCTCGTACAGACGCATTTCTCTAAAACGCGAACTGATTTCAATGTACGTTTCGCTCAACGAGCTGTCTACATTTGTTGATATTAACAAAACGGGGTTTAGGAAGATTCTCAAAAAGTTCGATAAAACACTTGGACTGAGTCTCCTGCCAATCTACACTGAAGAGGTCATCAAACAAACGCATATTTTCAAATCGTCAACTCAGGATGAGCTAGCTCGCCGTATTGATCGTGTTGTCCGGGAGTATGCCGATCTAGTATTAAATGGCGATGAGGTCTTGGCAGCTGAAACCTTGAAAGGTTATCTCAGGGAGCATGTGGTATATGAACGCAATACCGTCTGGCGTGACATGATTGGTATGGAGCGCCATACACAGGCAGTTGGTACGGATAAAGAACAAATGCCGCATTCTCGAATCCGCGTTTGTGGAATTGCGTTACCAGACTCCTTCAGTAATCCTGCAATTTACAAGCTGACTCTCATTTCTACAATATTCTTGCTCTTGCTTGCATTTCCAGTGCTCCAGTCAAGGCCCCAATCCAACTGCTTCGCCATTGTTATTGCTGCATCCCTGCTTTGGGCGACTGAAGCAATTCCGTTATTTGTCACTTCGTTACTAGTCCCGTTGTTAGTAGTGGTTCTACGCGTTCCTGTCGATAACCATGGCCACGCTTTGACAGCTAAGCAAGCTTCTGATTTCGTGTTTTCGAAAATGTGGTCTCCTGTGATCACCGTTCTACTAGGTGGCTTCACGCTGGCAGCTGCGCTTTCCAAGTACAATATTGCCAAAGCAATGGCAGTCATGATTCTGTCCAGATCGGGAACCAATCCCAGGGTTATAGTTTTGGTTCTTATGTTTGTCGCCGCTTTTCTTTGCATGTGGATCAGTAACGTTGCTGCTCCAGTTCTATTATATTCCGTCGCTCAACCTTTGTTGCGAACCCTTCCTACTGGCGATGGCTTTGCCAAGGCTATTATTCTGGGAATTGCTTTGGCTTCTAACGTTGGTGGAATGGCATCACCGATTGCCAGTCCGCAAAATATCATCGCCTTGCAAAATATGACCCCAGAACTCTCATGGACTGAATGGTTCTCCATCAGTCTTCCTGTTTGTATTTTGAGCATCACTTTGGTTTGGCTTTTGCTAGTCTTAACCTTCCCCCCTTCAAGTGATGCGAGTGCCATGGGCCACATTCGGGATCACGCAGATAAGTTTTCATTTGTCCATTATTATATTTTGGGGGTTACCGTATTGACAATCGCATTGTGGTGTTTGGAGCATCAAGCTGAGTTCATAGTTGGTGATATGGGTATTCTTGGGTTTGTACCTATTATCCTTCTATTTGGCCCCGGCATCCTTTCTGCTGCAGACTTCAACAATTTCTTGTGGACAATTATTGCCTTGGCTATGGGTGGTGTTACGATGGGCAAAGCTGTGGAGTCCTGTGGCTTGCTGGCTACGGTGGCTACGGCGATTGAGGCACAAGTGAGAGGGCTGAGTCTGTTCAGCGTTGTCCTTGTGTTTGGCTTCATGATTCTGGTTATTGCTAGTTTCATTTCTCATACTGTTGCCGCATTGATTGTACTTCCATTAGTGAAATCAATCGGCGAGGAGATGACAGACCCTCACCCGCGGGTGCTTGTGATGATATCCGCCTTCCTATGCTCGGCCGCAATGGCTCTTCCCACCTCTGGATTCCCCAATGTTACTGCGATTTGCATGACGGATGAGTTTGGTGTACCTTATCTGACAGTAATGGATTTCATTACTCGTGGTATCCCAGCATCCGTCTTAGTGTATATTGTAGTCGTGTTGGTCGGCTATGCCATCTCCCGATGGATTGGCTTGTAGGAACTGACCAAAAAGAGGTTCTTTTAAGGAAATTTCGTTACTACAGGGTTGGTAAAAGTACGTATAAAGTGATCGTGATCAAGATAGGTTTACCAAGACTTGAGCTTCATGGTGCCGTTTTCAGCGAGGTTTGCCTGCATCTTGAAAACGGAAGACAAGACCTGAGGCTCGTGGAGGCTGCGAGTCTTAGTGCAGTAATTCTCAGCAAATTCAACGTAGTCCAAGAGCTGATCCTTGAAGTCAGGGTGGGCACAGTTCTTAATGATGGCCCGAGAGCGCTCGCGAGGAGCAAGGCCACGAAGATCAGCCAAGCCCTGGTCAGTCACGACGACGTCAAGATCGTGTTCGGTGTGGTCGACATGGGTAGCCATGGGTACAATGCATGAAATACCAGTGGGATCAGTCTTGGTAGGACGAGCGGAGGGAGTATGCATGATGGAGAGCTTAGCGTTACGCAAGAAGTCACCAGAGCCACCAAGACCGTTAAGCATGCGGGAGCCATTGACGCAAGTGGAATTGGCCTGGCCATAAATATCAACCTCCACTGGTGTGTTCATAGCGATAACGCCCAAGCGACGGATAATCTCGGGGTGGTTAGAAATGTACTGGGAGCGGAGTAAGATCTTCTGCTTGAACTCATCAAAGTTGGCAAAGAAGCGCTTGAAACCGGCCTGAGTAAGACGAACAGAGGTAGATGTAGCAAAGTTGAGCTTGCCGTTCTCCAAGAAGTCAAGGAAACTGTCCTGGAAGACCTCAGTCCAGACGTTCAGGTTCTCGAAAGAAGAAGAAGCAAGACCCTCGACGACGGCATTAGCAATGTTACCAATGCCGGACTGCAGGGGCAGCAAGTTTTCAGGCATACGGCCCTGCTTGACCTCATTTTGGAAGAAGTGCACCAAATGGTTGGCGATAGCTTGGGACATGGCGTCACTGGGCGTATTGTCTGGAACCGAATCGCGAGCATCAGACTCGATGATAGCCAAGATCTTGTCTGGATTCACAGGAATACCAGGAGTTCCGAAGCGATCAGTGACAGAAGTGACAGGGAAAGGTGTGCGGAAGGGAGGGTTCTCAGGCATCTGGATATCGTGCAGACCGTAGAATGATGGGATGCTGGTATTGATCTCAATAATCACCTTGTCAGCGTAAGCAACAAGCTCAGGGGCAGCACCAACAGAGGGGCCCAAAATGATCTGGCCATTCTCATCGATGCCCGTAGCCTCAACGAGAGCAACATCGATCGAGTTGCGACGAGCAGGATCAGCACGATCCTTGGTGTAGAAACCGTAGCACAGATCCTGGGGAACCATGCTGAGGTGTTTATCAAAGAATAATGTAGAGCCCTCGTTGATAACCTTCTGGATCGGCTTGCCAACCTGATGGGGGGTTCGGCGTTTGAGCATTCCCAGGGAAGCCCAACGGCCCTCGACGTCGGTGTCGGTCGAGGCTCCGGTGATCAAGGTGAACCGGAGTTTGTTTTGAAGCTTGTTTTTTTCGACGTGATCAGCCAAAGCAACGGGTACGACTTTCGGTCCACCGACGCCAGTAAAACCGGACCAACCCATGTACATGTCATTTTCGAAAAAGGGAACAACCTCCTCGACAGTGCGAAGCTTGTTGAGCAAAGCGGGGTTCTTAATTCTGGATTTGAGGATAGCGCTCATTTTTGGTTTCAATCAAGCAAGGTTTCGAATCGAGCAAAATAGCAGATCAGGGCTGCGAACCCTTTTATATCTACGGCCCGTATCATGCCTGCGTCAGCCGGTTGGGACCCGTCACCCAACCAGAGCGAGGACATGCATGACTCGGGGTAGGCGCAGCTAACAGCCAGAAGGTCTCGCAGGTCGAGTCATTGGTCCATTTGGATCGGGATTTTATACTTTATTTACCACCGGAGTTTTACAGATACTATAGACCAGGGTGATGGCACGAATCTCCGGACAAGTGAGGTACTCCAGTAGAGTCGTCCAGCTCGTCCGTAGGATTGGTTTTGGCGTTGAAATCCCCTATGTGGTTTGGGCACGGAGACGCCGATTCGACGTCGTCCTACCCGGCGCAGTGTTTTTCGGAATAAGCGACGGTTCGTGCTGCGGATAATAGGGCGGTCTGTCATGGGTGCGTAGTAGCGGTTGGATGGGGGTCCTTACACCAGCGAGCAGCTTTTCATTGTGAAATTCTAATGCACTTGTTATTTTTATGCTTTGTTAGGCGATTCTACAATGCGGGGTCCCCACAAACCAATGCTACTTGCCCATTTTGCATAATTCCCCATGTAGGGTTTCTTGCGTGAAATTTATTTTCTGATCCACTCCCGCGAGTAACCGACAGATATGCAGGAGCCGCAACTGTGCACCCGCGGCATTTACTATAATTTAATAAACCCCACCGGGGTCTCGTTTCATCTACGTTACCACGCTAAATACCCATATTCACTTCTGCACACCATCTGTGAGTCACAGTGCCTAGCTCTTGTCACGATACTTGCTGCGTCCATAGTTGCTTTTTCCCCCTCGCTATTGGTCGGCTTACTACATTAGGCAGGTCCCACCGGTCCTTGAGACCGTCTTGATCCATGGGGGTGCTGGGTACAATGACTCGGGGAGTATTACCTATCCCACCTAGGTGCGCAAGTCAAAATCAGAAATAACTCGGTAGCAATCCTGAAAGGTTAATCGAGGCTCGACTTTACGAGTTCCATGCCATACATAATAGGGGTTGTTCTGATTATTTCGTTGGTGGTCTTGGCAGCTATGCGTGTTGCCTGGACACGCCAAGGGTCGTTCTTGCCCAAATGGTCCTCTTCGCCGGTTGACCAAGAACGGACCAAAATTCTCCGAGCCATAGTGGGGCTCCAACGGTTTGAGGACATTGCAAATGCTGCTGTGGATCGGCGCAAAACACTTTTTTTCCGTTTAACTAGGAACCAACAACATGAAGCGACACCCACCTATGATCGTTATCGTCAAGTGAGGAACTGCATACCATCGAACGCCAGGGTGATCGAAACGCTGGTAGAAGAGGCAGTAAAAGAATTTGAGGTAACCGCGTTCGAACTGCTGCGAGCTTATCCTGCATCAAACTATGAAGTCCTGGATACTTTCAATCATTTGGTTCGGGACTGGTCCAAAACAACAAAGAATAGTCGTGAAAAGCTTTTTGAGCCTATCTTGTGTCAATTGACTACTTTAGTACCGCCTAAAGATGCTAGGGTACTCGTTCCAGGCTCGGGGGTTGGTGCTTTGGCGCACAGAATCTCCCAGCATGGCTATACCGTAGACGCGGTTGAATTCAGCGCAGTTATGCATTTATCTGCCCAATTTGCAACGAGAGCGCAACGAAGCTACAGCATTTACCCTTATTTATTAGAGTTTTCCCACCTGAGACACGCACAAGATCAGCTAGAACAATCCGACCTCGTTCTGGAAGACTCCAATGCCAATTTCCATTTTGCGAACTTTCTCACTTTTGACCGAGGATACTATTATAACGCAATTGTTACACTTTTCTTTATTGACACCGCCGAAAATGCTATTGACTACATTGATCGCATTGGCACTATGCTAGCCCCCGGAGGCCGATGGATCAACTACGGTCCCTTGAAGTGGGGGACGGCTCCAAAGGTCGAGTTCGCTATGGACGAACTACTGGATCTGCTGAGGCGCAAAGGATGGGTCATTGAACAAACCTTTGAAGGCACAAATAGATACAGCGGCTCGTCCAAAAGTCTATGGGAAGCGCAGTACCGGATCTGCGGTTGGGTTGCTAGACGCGAATCATTTAGTTAAATAGAGTTTGGCTTTTATTTTCAGGTTGCACATGACAGGACGATGGTCCGAATCATACGCCTCCAAACTGTCGTATACCACAGGCTCCACGCTCGAGCCCCGATACAGGATTCTGTCACACCATGATGGAACACGCTGTTTGTCGCTTGAATCATAACGATTTGACCCGACGTCGAATTTGTAAGTTGGAGGGAACTGTATGGGTGTTTCATGGAAGCCAGCCAAGACGAATCTTGGGTTTTTTGTCAACTGTCGTCCTAGCTGGTCATATGCAAACAGCTTATCCCACGATTTTGATTGAATGAGCTTGATGGCATTTTCCCGAACCGTGTTTATGCGATAATTCGTGTCGCCAAAAAAGAAGCAGTATTCGTGGTCAAGTGGTCGCAACTTTGCGTGCCTTTCATGTTCTTCACCGCCACTTACTATTGTTTCCGCATCTTTATTCCTTTGCAAGGTGCTTGATTGTCCAGCAGCTAAATGCACATTAACGAAAGATAGAGTGCTGTCGAAAATGTCCATGCATATAACCGTAGCACCTTTGTTTCCGTGAAGACCGCCGAACCCGGTTTTTACAACATTGGTAGTCACGTTTTTTACTGAAGCAACAAGCTTTTGTGAGATGAAAACGCAGCTATACAGACCAACCAGTGCTCTGTCTGCTGCAAGTTCATATTCTTCTTCCAAGAGCTGGCTGAGGAAGCGCCGCCATGCTTTGTGTTCATGTTCCATATCATCTTCGATTTTGATCAGGTTCTTGGCAGTCTTGGACTTGTTATCGAGCTCAACTACTTCCTGAAACCCAAATACAATGATATCTGCCGGGTATTTTGAGCTGAGTTCACGCCAGAAAACATGCTCGTTCACATCATTGGGCTTGGCACATCCCACGTTCCAAGTGAAAATCTGAACCTTGAGATCTTTGAAAGCCGCAGTTTCGTCGAGCTGTTTTTGGTTTTCCAAAGCTCTCATATCTTGGCGCAAACCAGATTCCCACACGCCTACTGAATCATTAGTTGAGCCGGAAAGAACCAGCTCTGCTTCTTCAGAGGCAACCAGCATGGTGACAGGTCCCGAATGAGCTTTCCACTCTTTTAAGAGAGTTGCATCGTGCTCTATGAGGTCAACCACCAGAATACTACCAGTACGAAGCCCGATCCAGTAGTAGGGTCCAGCTTTCACTATGCTCAAGACACCAGAGTAGCCGAGAGTCACTGTTGCGGTTAACGTAAAATTGCGATACACCGAAATGGTACCATCGTTGTGGCCCAGAACAGTGGGCTCATCAATGCCGCCTGCACACCCGCAAGAATATTCACCCACGGTAGATGAGCTTCGCTCGCCATACTCAATTGCATGGGGTAAGACTTGGAAACCTCCTCTTAGCAGAAGCGGGTCGTGGACATATGCTTGACGGTTCTTCATGACCCACAAATAAGGGCTTTTGTAGGTCGCGTATTTGAAAGTGGAAATAACGCGATGGACCTGATGAGGGCGCGACAAATCGTTTGGGTTCCAAACACTTAGCTTTCCATCTATACTCAACGCCAGCACATAGCCGTCATCGTACCACATGTGAGAAATGGGACGGCGATGATGTTTTCCATTCTCCTCAACGTATCCGGATAAGTTAGGGTCCACGATGCAAATCCGGCCATCACGCATACCAAGCCAAACCTCGTTTCCAACTTGAACAGACGAAACGACCTTATCCGTAGATTTGGACCATACCGTCTCTAAAGTATGAGCATTATATATGGCACATGAACCACCACCTGCGCATATATAGTCTTGGTCAATACTTAGGCTCGTAAGGCCACGCTTGACAGAAATAGGGGGTCCCCCTGCAGCAGGGGGCCAGCTATTTACTGTCTTTGTGCGCAAGATTAGCTTTTCTGGCGTGGAAGCTTGATTTCTAGATGGCGGAGGCGGCATCATAGGCTGTGGAGGAGCTGCTGCGGGCTGCGGCTGGGGAGGCAAAGGGCGGGGAACAGGCTCTTGAGCCATTGGTGGAGCAGGAGCAGGACTCGGACTTACCTGATAATCTGGGTATACTTCTGTAGGATTCGGCGGCGGATTTGCCACAGGTTGGCCATAGTATGATGGTGTTCGGCTGGGAATTCGCGGTGGTAGCGGGGGAGCCGCTGACGCAGACCGGGCCGTCTCTGTCGACTCTGGTTCTGGACTGGCCAATTGTTCTACGGTTCCAGACTGTTTGCCATAATAGTGTTCGGGTTGTTTTCGAACTGGCTTCTCCGACAGAGCTATGCTTTCTGTTGAGCTGGCCGCTTCTGATGCTGTGGATGAAGGGACCCTGCTGGGAACCGGGGAAAACGACTGGGCTCTCTTTTTGAGTACAACGGCTTTGAGATCTTTTGGTTTAGCCGGGATTGGCGGCGGCGTTCTGGTTGTTTTTTCTTCAGCGTTCAGTCGCTCCGACATGATCGGACACTGATAAATGGTGATGTCTGTGTTGGGAGGTTAAACTCGATCTGAGCATTGATTTGATGCAGTGGCTGAAACACCGATACTCGGGAGATAACTTTGGACGAACCCTTAAGGCACATGTTTATATAACAGGACCACCGTTGATATGTATAAAAAAGTAGAGCACCACCGGCTAAGAAAGCCGATGGGGAGTAAGTGGCTTGTGGGACATAACCTAGATCAAACTATAATATGCTGCACCATAAAAAGCTAAGACCATTTGAGGTGCTTTGGACCGTATCCTTTTCTTGTACTTAACCCCTCTAGCCGAAGTCGTTTGACGGATCCAGCCGGAGCGGCGGGTTGGGCTGGTGGGGCGAAGCTCGGAATGGCTGAAAGAGGCCTAGGGACCGCTCTAGTTGCAGTATTATTAGAGTTTTGCAGAGCTGCTGCACCAATTGGTGCCTTATCCAATTTTAACGAGGGTGCAGTTGACTGGGAGGTCAGCAGATCGTTAAGTCTTTTAGGCCCTTCTTTCAATCTACATTTCGGGGAAGGCTTTGTTGCTTTTGTCACTCTTGGTTCAGGTCTAGGCTTGGGTTGACTCTTTTCAGGCGTAATTGACTGCACAGGATAGGGGATCATCGCGATCCCTTGAGAAACTTTTTTGGCGGAGGAGCTCTCTCGTTTTGGCTTCTTGACTAGATCTCTCAAGAGGTCCGTCAGAACAGTCAGTTGGTCCTGAATCACAGAGAGCTTATTGCAAATATCGTCGTTGTTGGTAGGCATGGGGAGCCTGGTGGATCTCCAACAAGATTATATAGGTATTGGTGGTTCCACAATAATCAATAAATTAAATTATAGATGTACCCTAGAGAACGAGCATACGTTGCAATTATACAAGATGCCAATAGATCAGGGTATATTTACTTTAGGACGCCATAATAAATGTCGATTGGACGTATTCCGCAGTTTCAAACCATCACATTCGTTTTGGCGCCCAGTGCGAAGCTTCAACGCATGCCGATTCGGGCCGCTTTGAATCTACTCACTTTTTGGGGGTTACCCTCCTCATCAATGGCTTCAACTTCCATATCTTTTTCCGTTTTTCCATATCCACCGGCCTTGTGAACAAGGCGTTGACGAAGTCGCTGATATTGTAGGCGAATCTCGCGCATATCATTAAGCTTTTCGATTTCATCGACACCAGCTGGCTCTGAATCATCACGCTCGGTAACTGCAGATAGAATTGGTTTTTCGTCTTTTAGTTGATCCAGCTCATCCTCCAAGGCGTTGTCATGCAGGGCTAAGAAATCCTCATCGGGGATCGTACTTTGGTCGAAGAGGTGGAGTGCCTCTTCCTCGAGTTCTTTTCTTAGAGCTGTGTCCTCATCTCGAATGTATCCAAGGCCTTCATAGGCCGGATCTGGCTGAGGTGTCTTGGGTGCCGACAAGGAAACAGCAGCAGGTCGAGATTCGGGTATCTTGTAGCGTCTGCTGTATGTTAACTTTGGTTTTGGTGATTTGGACGCAGACTCATTTGGCTTTTTTGACTGGGAGACTGGTCTCTCCACGACGTCGGACACCGCCCGTTTGGGAGTAGGGTTTTCTACGACGTCGAAAACAGGTCTCTCCATGACGTCGAAAACAGGTCTCTCCATGACGTCGGAAACAGGTCTCTCGACGACGTTGGAAACGGGTCCCTCCACGACTTCGGAAACAGGTCTCTTCACGACGTTGGAAACAGGATCGTCAGCCGGCCGTCCAGAAACCGACCCCTCAACTGCTTCAGTTGCAACACGAGGGGACTTGGCAACAGATGAAGTTGGAGAGTTGTTTCCGCGTCTCAACTTGAACTGAGAAACACCTCGACGCTTGGGTTCTTCCTGAACTGGCTCCTCAGGCTTGGCAGGCACTTCATGGACTTCATCAATTATTAGACCTTTACGCTCATCAGGCGACGTCTCAAATTCACGAACCACCAACGACTCAGCAAAGCGGACAGCCTTTCGATCTTCGTCCAGCCCAGGGAATTGCTTGGTGAGAAGTTGTCTTACCTTTTGAGTTTGAGGGAACAAGGAGCCATGTAGTGGCTCAGTGTCTTCATCACTATCGTCGTCGTCATCAATCTCTAATTCATCTAGATCGATGTCCATATCATCTTCATCGTCAAAATCCAGTTCATCCTGTACAAGATGCAGCTCCAATAAATCCTCCTTGGATATGCCATTGAACGTTTGTTCTTTAGGCTCAGTAATCTCCTTGATTCGTGGTTCTTCGGATTTGGGTTCCCTTGGTTCCTCCACCTTCTTTGTAGCCAATTGAGGGGTTTCATCAGGCTGGGGTCCGCTCATGGCCTTTTGCAGGTGCTCGAAAGCACTTGCTGCTCGATCAACTCGTGAGTTAATTACATTATCATCGTCGTCAAGTTCCTCAAATATGTCCATAATAGGCAGACCTTCCTCGTTGATACCTGATAAATGCTTGACTGTATCCACTTCGTTTTGCAAAACGTTGATTCGCCTCTCGAGGAAAGAGATTGCTTGATCGGGTTTCAACTCAACAAAATAGTCGTCTCCAAGGTACACTGTAACAACTTCATGGCGAACTATTTTCTCAGGTGAGTTTTTCAGCGTGGTCTGAAGCGTAATATATTCGTCCAGCCGTTTTTTAATGATTTCGAAACTCATTGGAAGACTGATTGTCGCTGAGGTAAACAAACGTCAGCCCAAACTTCCACATCATGGTAGCGCCAACACGGTCACAGATCAAGATCAAAGCTTTGCAGCGGTTAACTAAAGAGCATGAGCTCTATCTGAAAGAAGAGGTTGAGATTATGGCTCGTTTGAAGAGCCTGAAGGAGAACAATGGCGACGAGTACGAGATCAAGAAGATCCAGCAGGTTCTCGACGAAACACGGCGGGTGGTGCCCAATGTGCGCAAGCGGTTGGAGAATGAGGTTGAAGAAACCCAAAGGCTTCAGGTTGCCGATGAGGACAGGGCCGAACTCGACGAGGCGGTTGCTAAAGCTCAAGCGTACTTGACAGCTCATTAGAAAACTTATATACTTTTATTCGCCCCACTTGGTGGCCTTTATGCCTGTTTCTTGCTCAAAAGCTGCCAATTCTGCATTCCACTCGTCGGCGTCATTCATGCGATCGTCTCGTTCTTGGACGGCTGCCTGATCGTATTCCTTTTTGTGCTCGACCCATCGTTCGTGAATATCAATAGGGCCGCCCAGATAGCCTCCTTGACGTGTGGCGTCCACCCAAATTGAATCACCACCGATTTCCGTGGATCCAAACAAGTAGCCGCTAGCCTTGTCGATAACAGACAGCAGCGATATCATCGACTTTTTGTCTTCGACGGCCAGCACTTGGAAATCCACCAGACCGAAATCAGTCACCACTTCGCCAATTGCCTCTGTTAGTCTAGAAAACCTTGGTCCCATTTCCTGCTCAACGTTGGGGTATATACGCTCTAGATCCTGTACCTCCGTATAATAGTCGAGCTTGAAAGGTAGAGGCCCGTAATTCGATACAAGATCAATTTTGCTCAGCACATTGATATGAGGCAGATCAAACTGTAGCATGGTTCGCAGAGCCAGCAACAACACAGAAATGTACTGCGAGGCCGACGAGAGGTAGTAACTGTCAATCAAGTTCACAACAACAAGCCGGACCCCGAGGTCCTTTTCGAGCCGTTTGACGATATGGGCTAGTGCTCCGTGGTGGGTGAAAAGCTCGACCTGACCAGGGCAGTCAATGAGCAGATACTCTTTTGATCCGAGCTTTTTCACTTGCTCAATAAATAGGTCCGTAGACTCGTCAAGTTGTTCCAAAGCATAAATGATGCCACCATTCGGTCCTAGATTCTGCTCTTTCATGACGTCTTCCAGAGTGGTAAAGTCTCTAATGTCAAGAGCAGCGTCATAGGGTAAATGGTCATTTGCTGGATCCAGGTTGATAATCGACGGTTTCCGGCCAATTGCCGACAGAAACTGGTTCATGCCGTTGCAATAAGTTGATTTGCCCGATCCGGGGGGACCGATAATTAGCTGTCCAAACGGCATTCTCAGACTTCAGGACCCCAAAAGAAATAAAAAAAATACAGTTCTCGATCTACCCGCTCAAAAAACCGTGTGGGAGGCAAAATCACTAAGCATGCTTCCTGACAAAGTGACCGTGGCGCCTCTGGTGCTGTTATCGGTAGTAGACCATTACAATCGGTCTCAGCAAGGTGCTAATAAGCGAGTAGTTGGCGTTATTCTCGGAGACACCCGCAAGGGAGTTGTCCGAGTGGCCAACAGCTTTGCTGTTCCATTTGAGGAAGACGAGCGGAACCCGGATGTGTGGTTCCTCGATCACAACTACATTGAGGGCATGCAGGATATGTTCAAAAAGGTAAACGCGAACGAACGCCTGATTGGCTGGTACCATTCAGGCCCCAAGCTGCGCGCCGCAGATTTGCAGATTAACGAGCTGTTCAAGCGGTACACCCCCAATCCCTTGTTGTTGATTGTGGACGTCAAGCCAAAGGATGTCGGCATTCCTACGGATGCTTATATTTCGATCGAGGAGGTCAAATCCGACGGGTCAATGTCTGGCCGTACGTTTGTGCACGTTCCGTCCGCCATCTACGCTGAAGAGGCCGAGGAGATTGGTGTCGAGCATCTGCTCAGAGACATCCGCAATGCAGCAGCCGGCACGCTTTCAACCCGGCTCACTGCTCAGCTCACATCGTTGCAGGGCCTAGATGGCCGTTTGAGAGATATCGCCAACTACCTTGACCGCGTGCTCCAGGGCAAGCTGCCCGTCAACCATGTGATCCTAGGCAAGCTCCAGGACGTGCTGAACTTACTGCCTAATTTGTCGGGTGCCCATTCTGGCGAGCTAACTAAGGCATTTACTGTCAAAACTAACGATCAGCTCATGGTTGTCTACCTGAGCTCGGTCGTCCGGGCTATCATTGCTTTCCACAATATGATCGATAACAAGATCCAAAATAAAAACGTTATCCACAGTGGAGACAAAGCAGCAGCGCACAGCTAGGCCATAGATAATCCTGTAACTTTTTGCCAGTCACGCAAGGGTTATGCAGCATACGATCACGAGCGCTTACCATGCTCCGGCCTGCGTTTTTCCGCTCCTCTTTACAACATCCAAGGGCCTTGCAGACGTTCGGGGCGATAATTACTTAGATATGGACAAATTACTCGATTTGCGCGAGCTCCTTCGGGATTTCGTGTTCCGGCCAGCAATCGGTGTGACCGAGAAAGACATTCCTGATTTGAGCGGCAAAACATACCTGGTCACTGGTGCATCTAGTGGAATCGGTTTCTACTCGGCCAAGTTCTTGGCTGTAGCAGGTGCAAAAGTGTATTTAACCGGCAGATCCTTGTCCAAGCTAGAGGACTGTCTGGAGAAGATCCGCGAGCAGCAACCGTGTGCCGATGTGCACGGTTTACAGGTAGACTACAGTTCACCAGAAACAATACAGAAGAGTATTGAGCCAATTGTTCAGGAGGAAAAACTGAACGGAATCATCCACAATGCCGGAATGAATCATGCGGACGCCACAGTCACAAAGTATGGCTACACTGAGACCCTGGTCGTCAACGCCATTGGGCCGCAAATTGTGCAAAGAATTTTAGACCCCTTGCTACTGAAAACAGTACAAACCGCTGGCAAGGATAATGTACGTGTAATCTGGGTGGCTTCGTCCGCTCACTTTTTGGCTCCGCCGTGTGGCGGCATCGACTGGGACGATCTCAACAACACCGATCTTGGTGGCAGAGGATACGCATACTACGGTGAGACTAAAACGTTTTCTATTTACCAAGCGATTCTGTGGGGCCAAAAGTACCTTTATGACGGCATTGTGAGCGTAGCAGTGCACCCCGGCATCATTACATCGGATATTCGCCGGAACGCGCCAGGGCAGAAATCTCCCTACGAGATCTTCTGCCGACCTACGGAATACGGTGCCTATGCGGAAATCATGCCTCTGTTTATAAAACTTTCGTCAGCTCGCAATGGCACGTACTTTGTGCCGTTCGGCCAGCGGGCGCGGATCCGAGAAGACATCGAGCTAGCAGCGTACGGTCCTCGCGGCCGAAAGGCCTGGAGATGGCTCCAAAAAGAATCAGGCAAGTATATTCAGTAATAAAATTTGTTCTATCGTCTCATAAACCACTGCTCGACTGCGGGGTAGTCAGCTTTACAAATGCCTGGCCGGCCGAGTTTGCTGGCTCAGGCAGGCAGAATGCTGGGGCAGAAGCCCGCGAGCAAAGAAAGCGTTGCGAGGCTAGAGGCAATGCTGAATGATCAGCAAACCAAGATCCACGAGAAACAGGACCAGTCGTTCCTGGCCAGACGGGACATGGAATATAGCCAATCTCAAGATCGCGCATATCCCCGGACCTTTGAAAACAAGCAGTTTTTCACCCCGCATTTACAACGATCAAAGCAGCTGGAAGACGATCCAGTGGTAAGAGAGTATGTCATGGTGCTTGGCAATGGCATGATTGTGCGACAGAGCCAGAAATCCCGAACTATTCCGCTGGAACAGGACCCACCAGCCCTTCCTCCAATAGCGCGGGATCGAATTAGAGAGCTCGAGTCCCAAGGTTGGCTAGTCACAGGCCACAATGCAGATATGGTGGAGATGGAGCGGCTATACAACCCGCAGACGCAAGCGCGGGACGCTACCATGCGGGCGGCCAAAAAGTATGCCATTGGGGTGATATCGTTAACTATAGCAGTCTACGTGGGTCAGTTTTTCTGGGATTAGCAAGGCTCGGAGGCGTCGCGAGCAATCCGGATTGAAACAAGTGTATTTGTTCCTCCCACGCTGCCCTTCCAAGCTTTCAATGCTTTGACCACCTGAGGATCTCTAAGATCAGGCAGGGTGAACCCGTCATTATATTCACGATCGTCGTATTCCAATTGCATTTGCAGACTATCCTGTCGCGACGAAGACGGTCTGCCCGGCCGCCTTTGTGATTTCAGCTGATCTAGCTCGTCGCTATTTCTTTCAATATAGGCCACAATCATATCATGAATTTCGGGAATAGTGTAGGATTCTTGCTCGATTTTTTCAATAAAAGACTTGAAAAAATGCAGCCTCAGTAGTTTTTGACTTTGGGCATCTGATCTCATAGATTTGTTGGTCTGTAGCTTGTCCTGTCGTAATTGAGCTCGTGTGAGCTGCTTGATTTTGCGTCCTTTGGGGTGCAACTTCGTCCCTCCCTTTTGCTTTTGGACTTTCCCAAGCGATTTTGCAATAGGCATTGGATATGGTTAGTCTAAGGATTTTTTTCTCTTCACTCTAAATAAACCGCTGACAGATAAAGCCCTATACGCTTAGTCATACAATACACCTCGGGGTCTGCGGGGTCTGCGGGGTCTGCGGGGTCGAGAGCGCGGGAAAAAGGCTGCCTACTTGCAGTTCTCTTTCATGTGGTCGCGAAAACTTCCAAATCTCCAACAGAACAGCAAGAGATGTCAATCGCCCCTTCAGCTCTGATCGCCCGCTGCTGACTTAAGCCGGTGTGGGCTGCGTGTTTCTAACTTAAACAATTAATGCCCCGATACAGTGTAAAGACGTTGATTGAACTGAGCGACTCAGAGCTTGTCTCGAAGCCAGAATTCAAGTTCTCGAGTTTCGAAAAAGTGGACCCAGCATCCTATCACGCCGACGTCCACCGACCCCGTCGTCGCTCGAGCAATCACCATCACCAGCGTCCGGCGCCTCCAGTTGCGATTATTCCTAACCATATTCTCGCTGCTAGCAAAGAGGGCACGCCCGCATCGTCTGCAGTGGTAGAAGAAGAGAACGAGGACGAATCCGAAGAGGGCACCCCCGACGGCGACGACGAGCTGGCTGCTCATTACTTTTTGCGACGCCAGGAGCTCAACAAGAAGAAGGTACCTCAGGCAAACCACCCTCATGGTACGACTGGGGTTCAACTGAGCTATGCAGCTGCTTTGGCCCACACTTCGACCATTGGGCGTCACCCGCTGGAGGGTGAGAACGACAATGCTGTAGGCGACGAAGAGGAAGCTGGCGACGAAGGCTGGATTAGTGTTAGCCAGCATAAACCTCGTCGCAAGAGCTTTTCTGATCGACGGGCCCGAGGCTCGTTCTCGCGCTGGCGCAGAGATAGCTCGGAGTAAGCTACGATCAGCAGGACACATTAACTATTAGGCGCGGGGTTTACCAGCCTCCATTGTCTTTTTTTCGCCCCTCTACCTATCCTTGTACGTCAAGTGAGAATGCTCTTCTTTTGCTAGCATTATGACCAGTGGATCAGGAAATGGCGAGCTCCTCCTGGCACTGGCCAGTAAGCCCTCTTACTCCGTATTGGCGTCCGGTAATTGAGCTTTATGTCGATCAATTTAAAATCTTTTAGTATACAATGAAACGTATATATTGTATTCACTTATGAGTTCAGTTCCCTCCTAATCCGCTCTCTTGATTATCAATCCATGTTCCCCGGCTATCGAGTTTCGGGTCCGTTCCGCCGCTGGGCGAGTACGTCGCCTCAATCGGCCAAGATTCGCAAAATATTGAGGAGACAGGTCCCAGAAGTACCCAAATTTGTACAATCTTGTGTCTCCGCGTCGAAATGTGCTCACTATAACCTTCCCCAGGCGGTGTCGCTGCTCACTGGCCAGGGCCACTATAGCCGAATGCTCGAGAGCGGCGATTTCGCACACGCTATATTAGACGAAACAGATGTGTTTGTTTTGAAAAATGGTGTCGTTGTGGCCTGGAATATGGAGGAAGATACAGTTGTTAAAAAGCTGCTGCCTTTACTGAGGCTTGCCGAGTTGGGATCATTTCAAGATGTCGAAACAGAAGATATGGACTATGTGGAGGAAGAAACACCTCAAGATGTACGGTCTGGTATGATTGGTGATGTTATTTATATTCATGGATTCACGGCAGAACAACGGCTGCTTGACAAGGTTGCTTTTTCGTCCGGACTCGCCCGTCACACCAAGTTAAGTGCTCTGGAAATGTCCAGCGAGAAACTAATCAAAAACGTCGAAGTCATCTCCAAATCGATGGCTGAAGGAACCGAAACAGGCCTGGATATGAAGGCGGTGGAGCGTTTGACTGGCCGGTTGTTACAGATCCGCGGAGTCTTGAACTTGTATTCAGATATCACAGAGACTCCAGACCAGTTTTGGTCACAGCCAGAGCTCGAAAGTTTATATGAACTGGTCAGTCGTAAACTCGATGTGTCTGAACGCATCGAAATCCTGAATAAAAAGCTCGACTACGTTGCAGATATGGTTTCGATTTTACGCACCCATCTGAGCGAAAAGAATAGTGTGCGTCTCGAATGGATGATTATTATTCTCATTACAGTTGAGGTTGTATTTGAAATGCGCCATCTGGTTCTCTGAGGTGGCGGGTTTGTATGTATATAGGAGATAAAATGTGACGGCGTTTCCTGGTTTAATATTTGCACTTTTTTACCAATCCCGTCCTATTAAACAGCAAGTTTACCACGTGAGCTGCTATCCAGTTTGAGATCAGCAAGTATATCTGCCACTTGTGCCCGCAGTCCAAGGCTATTACTTTGCGTTGGCTTGGTAGTTGGCCGGCTGGCCCGACCTGAATTCTGCATGGAAATTGAACTTGACGCGCGACGGATCAATTGGGAGACTGTGGGGGTGTCAGTTTCTGAAGTGTGGTTGCTCCGCACGCTGGAGAATTGCAAATCAGTATGAGCTGAAGCAGCAACTGATGGCGCACGTTTCTTGTAAATATTGAAAGCCTCAGGGAATGTAAGATCATCGATGCCTTCATCTGAGGCAGAAACCCAACTTCTCTCCTCTTCACTCAATTGGAGCTGCTCAATAGTAATAATAACACTAGTGTCGTTTTCGGCGTGCATAGAGCTAGGCTCAGACGGAGGCTGATTCAAAGCCACCGAGAGCGCATCGGTGATAGGAATAGTTGCAGGATAGATAATCCCAGGCAACCAGAGCTGTTCAGAAACTCTCTTTTTGATCACTTGCAAACATGTGTCTGCAGGCTCTTGACGGCGAGCAGCGGTGAAGATCGCTAACAATACGCCCTGGCTAACGCTCAGCAGGGAAACGACTTGAAGAGAAGAAAACTGGACGGACTCATTGTTGGACATTTTTGAATTTGACACCCCAACCTCCTGAACGTGATATGCCCAGCGGCAGATTGAGATAGCGTGCTCACCAAGATGCTCAGCCAAAGCAGTCAGGCAATAATAAATGGCAATATAGTTGACCACCTTGTTGTGGGAGTCGAGGAGTACATTGGCCAGTTGTCGTCCGATAGAGCTTTCAATTCGAGCCTGAGCCTTGACAACCCGATGAGCTCGCCGAAGGTATTCAACGAACGCGAGAGTGTAGTTTTTCAGGACGTCAACATCCTCGGAATTAAGCAACCACTGGGTCGAAGCCCACAAGTTAACCATCAAACGCTCGGTAGCAGGCAAGGTATCAATAAGTTCACGAACATTCAGCATGTCGGTGCTGATGACCTGGGGGTTCTTATGGTCGACAGAAGCACCTGACTGTGCTCTTTCTGGAGGCGCACCGGTTGAGGAATATTTCCAAAGGATCTCAGCTACCATGTCAGTGACTTGACCAGCATAAACCGTGTGCTGGCCAAGCGAGCCGATGATTTTTCTGATTTCAATGACAAGCTCGCTCGCGTTCTGTTTCAGCTTGGCATCACCAAACTCAGAAGTCACCAAACGATGTTGAAGTTTGAGGAGGTCCCGTAGGACGTCTGTGACAGCTAGACCAACAAACGAGACAGTAGCTGACCCAAGCAGAGACTGCAGCAATACACTGTAACTCTTGATGGCATCGACAGCAGCAATGTCCAAACGGCACATCCGCTCAATTAAGGTTTGAACGACCTTGTAGCGCAGTTGTACCTGCGCCCACTGAGCAGCAGCCTCGAATAGAGCGCACAGCCACCGGGTAGGTCTAGTATCGAGACGCTCCATGCAAGTCAACAAACGGCTGGTGAGCCTGACGACCAAGGAGCCATTTGAAGTGTCAAAGCTTCTTCTTAATGCCCACAAAGCGAGGTTGTGAGTGTTCTTGGCCATATCTATAATGGAATGAGCCTCAATAGAAGCGAATTCCAAATTGAACCTTTCAAAAACAGCCCCCGTCTCGTCGACAGGCAACGTGCTGTAGAAAGTTGGCACCGCCTCTTCCAACGTTTCTTGACCAACTGTAGTGCTCAGCGCAGCAGAGATAGACAAACTGGAAAGCGCCTGGAGACCAAGGCCGTGCTGAATGCGGGACTGAGGGCCTGCAGATGTGGAGATAACAATGAATTTTCGCACCAGAGCCCGGTAATCCTCGACCAACTGCTTGTCATAAGCAAACTGGAGACCGTCGTGGTTAATATTGAAGGCGCGGAAAGCCTCTGATGCACAATTAAGCAGCCCAAGCTCGCTGGAGTCAAGGGCAATGGCTATAATAGAAATAGCCTCGGGTGCAAAGTTGTTCAAGTCGTCCTTGCAGTCCTGAATCATTTGGGACATGATCCCCACCGTCACCGACGCATTGCCGATACGGTTCTTTGCAACATATTTCAGAGCCTTGCGCTCGAGAAACTCCGATGCCTGGGGGATTTGCGACCGGTGCGTATTCAGGTAGTAGATTAAATACGACAGCTCGCTTGGCTTGGGCTTTTTGTCACCCAAACCGGGCGGGTAACACGCCCTAATAAGTCGCTCGTATTTCAGGTGCCTCATTATCAGCCGATTGCTCTACTTTATTTCGTAAATTCGTTGGTTTCGGAGACTCGATGCCGGCGTAGGTAAGAAAGACTGAGGGGGCGGGGGAGGGTTAACTGCCCTTACCTAAGGTGGGAGTACATTACCCCGTCGGCAAAAAGACGTGCGCACCGCGCACACATGCGGGTGGAGGATGTGGTGAAATAAACTTAGATATCGGCTAGAAAACTCTAATACCTCAACGTAATAGAACAGGCAAGCCCACGCAATTGTTTTGTGGAGCCCCGCCTTGCCCGTAGCTCGCTTGCTATCAGGGCAACTCAGACACCCGCCTTATGGGCTTTATACCCCAGCCCCAGGCCTCTGGACCTACTTGGCCCGACCTTGGTTCGCTGCAGGTAAGCAGACATGGATACATGTCTACTGACGATTCCAATACGACCAGCATTCAATGCAGATATCTCTGCAGGAATCAAGGAGTATATTGAGAGAGTGTATCAGCAGAATGTAGTGGAGTTTCTGGGGGATATCGACAAGTTACAGAGGCTTCGCGATGCCACGATTTTGTCATCGCAAAGTGAGGCAGCTCTGGAGTACTACGGGCAGCTAGGTGCATTGGCACCCAAGTTTCCCGCGAGCCTCAACTGCAGGTTAGTTTGGGGCAGTTCTCTTGGTTATGGTGTTGGGTCTGTTGAAAGTAATTGCTTGCAGTTCGATCGGATCAACGTCGCCTACAATCTGGCTGCCGCAATCACTCAGCAGGCCGCTGTATATACCAAAAACGATTTGCGCAAGGCATATCAGTGTTACCAGCGCGCGGCTGGTATTTTCCACACATTGGTGACCACCGAAATGGACAAATTCCCTGGTCAACTTGCCATTGGCCTCGACTATGCTACCATTGAATGTCTCAAACTGCTCTGCCTGGCGCAGGCCCAAGAATGCTTTTGGGCAAATGCAGCTCATCCTCGAGATAGCACAATGACAGTTAAACACGCGACGCTAGCCAAACTGGCTGAAGGTGTTCAATCGTTGTATAGTGAGGCTTATGGGTTGGCCAACCGCTCTTCAGCGATCCGCATCGAATGGGCCAGTCATTTGCAGGCAAAGCGCGACTATTTTGAAGCTGTTGCAAGGTACAGAATGTCGCTAGAGTGCCTCGATTCTAAGGAATATGGCGAGGAAGTAGCCTGGCTGCAAGCTGCGAAAGCATCCTTGATGTCCGATACTATTACCACTGCCAAGATCGATCCCTTGCTCAAAAATAACATCCAAGGCCTTAGGAGTCGAGTAGTTGGTGATCTGAAACGTGCCGAACAGGATAACAATCTGATTTATTTGCAAAATGTGCCAAACACCTTGTCTAACTTTACCAAGACGGTGGCAGCAAAGCCTAACCTTGAAATCCTGAAAGACGCCGATGCAAAAGCCCGAGTCGCTCCCTTATTTAGGCTGTTGCTTCCTTTCCCAGTATTCCAAGCCCCCAAGGCCTACAAAGAGAAGCTCGAGTTGTTTGTTGACAAGTACATTGTCAAAGAATGCCAGAGAATCAACGAAAAAGTGCAAAGCAGCTTGACAGAAATGCATTTGCCGGGTGCCTTGGAAGCTGCTCAGCGACCCACCGAGGTCCCAGCCTTCTTAATAGAGCAGCACGAGGCTATAGTTAGAGCGGGTGGTCTCGATGAACTAAGAAGACGCCGCGCTGCTGTGAATGAGCTTCGAGAGCAGGTGGCTGATGAGCTCTCAGAATTGAAAACGGCAATTTCTCGAGCTTTCCCCCAGCCCCAGCTCACGGGGGTTCGAGAAGTTTATGATGAAGTTGCCACCAAGTTTCAACAGTTGGTCGAATATTTAAGAGTAGGGAGAGCGAGTGACGCAAAAGTTGACGAGAGACTCGCACAATCAGAGCATTTAATCCGCATTCTAGTCGAGGGTGCAGATGCAATCAGCACATTTTTACCGGACCCAGTGACCTCGACGCCCAACCGAGAACTTTCTCAGGTCTGCTCGGATTTACAAGCTATTGTTGGTACGTTGATTGGGAATTCCGCTCAGCGCACAGCATATGGTGAGCGGGCCATGGTAAAGGCCGCATCAATGGATATAACTAGCAAGGTTATGGAGTACGTGAAAGGTCGAGTTGCACCAATCGAGCGGGCTAGTGACCTGGATCCTGTATACACTCAGCTAGTAGGAGAGTTCGATCCCGCATTTATTTATTTGAAACAACAAAAGGCCGAGGTGGAATCTATGCTGGCATGTGCAGCGACCAGAAACAAACGTTTCCATAAAAAGCTCAAGGATCTGGGAGATAAGAACAAGACCCGCCAGTTGGCAGTCGAGGCTCTAGAAACTGCTAGCGTGCGTTACGATGAGGTGGGGGCTAACATCGATGAAGGCCGTAATTTCTACGCGACTCTACGGGCTGAAATTGATAAATTACATCATACTACAACTGAGTATAGTGAGCGACACGCGGCTCCTCAAACACCACAATCTCCTGTTTCGAGCGACGAGGCAGAAGAGGAAGCATCCATCCACTCGGTGCCACCACCTGGCAGTGATGCTCGTGTGACTCCACTTTCCACTCCACGACAGCCGTTGCCTGGAGCGTGGGACCACAACTTGCCTATTCGGTTTGGTTGAGCTTTTTTCGATGATACTCGACATTTTTTCTGTGACCACGACTTTGCAAATGCGTTTTCCATGCCGCATCACCCATGACAATTACGGGCTGCCCTTTGCGATCACTGCAATGCTCGCACTCATGCCTCACCCATTGGTCACGGCTGAACTCTTGCTGTTTACGTTGGGCATCAATGTGCTCGGGTACCAATCTTTGTTTAATTTGCTCGCCGCTGAGCCAGTCTCTGGCAATATCTACAGCCCGATCAGCGACATTTTCTTGCCAATTGTCAAGATCAGTGGAATCCAGAACAGCCATTGTCCCTCCTAATTTTTGCAATTGCGGCGTTAATTTATTGATGATCCACTTTGTTTGTTTCTTCGCATACTGCCTTGTTTCGGACTTCATGGCAGCAACACTAGAATCCGGCGTCGGCACTTCTTTCGAAAGGTACGGTAAAAATTGTTTGAATCCCAACACTTGCCAAACTCCTTGTCCCTCAGCATTTTTGCCACCTTCCCACTCCCCATAAAGCTCATTTATCTCGTCCATCAATCCAGCCTCAAGCATTGCATCAACTCGAGTGTCCAACCGCTCGTTGAGGACGTCACGTTGACAATAGATCCAGAAAACAAGCACATTGTATCTTAACTTTGTAGTGCATTCTGATTGTTCTTGATAAATTTCCGAGGGCCGTTGGCCTGTTGTGTAAAACACTTCGAGAGCTCGTCGTAATCGACGGGTATCGTTTGGATGGAATTTGGATGCAATTACCGGATCAATTTGCTTTAATTCTTTCTCGACTTGAGCAGGATTATCCAGTATCTGCTCTTCTTCAGCCGTGAGATTTCTTTTCGGACTTTCTCTCTGTCCTATAGTGGAATTTTCTGCGATAATCGACTGGATATAATAATGAGTTCCTCCAACAAGAATTGGGATCTTACTTCGTTTTTCCATATCATCAACAAGACCAGTCACCTCTTTTTCGAACTGCGTAACTGTATATTGTTTATCCCACTCAATGTGTCCCAAAAGATGGTGAGGCACCCCCATGCGCTCCTTCATGGGATGCTTATTAGTGATAACGTCCAAGCCGCGATACATCTGCATCGAGTCGCCGTTAATGATTTCACCGTTCAGTTTGCGCGCAAGCTCCACAGCCAGCTGGGATTTACCAACACCGGTATTACCAACAATGGCTATCAGCGTGTTTTTCATAGCCTTGACTGCCCTCAAAATAACGTATGGGGTAAGCTGATCCGGAAAGAAGGAAAAAAATATTTGTCATCTGTAAAGGGCTCGAAATTTTTTTCTAACCCTTACAGTCTTTAGTTTTTACAATATGAGTGCGCCTATTGCTCGCATTCAGCCTGTGAGAAACCCGGTTCTTCCGGAAGCCACGACACCAGAGATTCGTTATTGGCGAGGATTCCGGGCCCCACTGCTCGTGAAAGAGAACAATGCAGTTAATCACATTCATTTCAATCCGGCATCCCCTCACGACTTGGCCTTCACGTCCTCCACCCGCATTCAAATTTTATCTTCAAAGACCCAGAGAGTACACAAAACTATTGCAAAGTTCAAGGATACAGTCTACAGTGGTGAATTTCGCCATGACGGCAAGCTGCTTGTCGCTGGTGATGCTACTGGTTTGATTCAATGTTTCGATACCTCGAACCGGGCTGCGTTGGTTACACTCAAGCCCACAAAGTATGCAGTTCACGTTACAAAGTTTCACCCTTCTTCATTGTCTACTTTACTTAGTGCCAGTGACGATCGGGTTGTTCGACTGTGGGATCTCACATCTAGCGATCCGTTGGTGGAGTACAGAGACCACACTGATTATGTTCGCAGTGCCACATTTGTCGCTTCTTTGAATCTTATTGCAACCGGTAGTTATGATGGTTATGTTCGTTTATACGATCCTCGGGTCACCACGTCTGAGGGCCCTGTTGTACAATTCTATCATAAAGAGCCAGTTGAATCCGTGCTCTCGCTGTCGGAGACCACTCTGGCTAGTGCCGGTGGACCAATGGTGAAGATTTGGGATCTTACTGCCGGCAAAAAGATCCGCCAGTTGGGAAATTTCCAAAAAACCGTTACCTGTTTGGCCTCTGCTGGAGAGCGTGGCTTGCTGGCGGGCTCGCTGGACGGCCACGTTAAAGTATTTGACTCTCACAACTCCGAGTACCAGGTCACGTTTGGCTGGAAGTATGGTGCACCTGTGTTGAGCACAGGGATCTCACCTAACCTTCGTCAACTGGCCACTGGTCTCACCACCGGCTTGCTTTCGGTGCGGACCCGTAAGACAGAGCCCAAGGCTGCTTTGCCTGAGAAGCAGGCCAAATCAGGCAACTTTGCCCGCATGATCCGTGGTGCTGAATACCATGGCGAGCTTGAGCACCAAACCATGAAAGGATCCAAGAAGAAGACAATTCGACTCAAGCAGTACGAAAAGCATATCAAAGCCTTCCGCTGGTCAGATGCGCTTGATTCAGCTTTCCAAACTGGTGTCGCGCCAGAACAAACAGTCATGGTCCTTGAGGAACTCAGAAACCGTGGCAAGGTAGTAATTACTCTCACTGGCCGCGATGAGGACTCCTTGGAGCCCTTGTTCAAGTGGTGCTTGAGATCGATCCACGATACCCGGGCCACAACGGTAATTGCCGACTGGATTGGCACCTGCATTGATATGTACGGCTCTGTGATCGAAAAGAGTCCTATTCTCAGCAACTTGCTGAGCCAGCTGCAAACTAGAGTGAACTCGCAGGTGGCCAAGGCTGTCGAGGTTCAGAAAATCGAGGGCATGCTCGACTTGTTAATGGCATAAAAGTATATAAATATCACCTAGCTTTTTTACCAAACGGCCGCTTTTTCTGTATATTAAGCCGCCGGTAATTCTCGGTCGCTTTTCGCTTGGAGGGGGCATCGAACTCCGTAACAGGACGCATAATGACTCGCTTTGTAGTGCGTTTCTGACCACGCTTCCGCCATTTCGGCTCCTGATTGGGCTCGCTTACTTGCGTGGTCTCGATTTCGACACTTCTTGTTTGCGTAGGCGAGGGGGGCATTTCAAAGTCGGAGTCTACGTCAGACATGTTTTCGACCTCTTCGATTATCTGACTGATCGATTTAGACGCTCGTCTTGGAAACAATGGAGATTCACCATCATATACAACCGACCCGCGTTGCCCAATGTATGCAGGAGTTCGTTTAGATTTTGGAGTTTCGACCAGGATGGCCTTGGTGGGTGTGCTGGGGGCATCCAGCTTTTTAACGGGCGTAGCAGGCAGCTGAATATCAAACAAGCCCATTACACGTCCTTGGTGTTGGGGAGTAGGGAAAACCTCGCTGATCGTCGGCTTTTGTGGGGTTCTCTCTGCGTCTGGGATCTCGGTTGTTTCCGAATTGGGATCTGTTTTCGGCTCTGAAAGGTTTGGTTCAGCCTTTAAGGCCGCTGCCTTTTCACGATGATACTGTTTGTATAATCCATGAATATATTTGTTCTCTTTGATATCTTTCGACGACGGCTTTCTACCTGTTTTCTCCAAAAAGTCGCGTTCCCAGTCTTTCAACTTGGTTCTCAGCATTTTCTATCTAAACGCACAGACCTAAACAACCAATTCACACGTTTTCTGACCGGTCCAACCACGATTTGCTCCTTTGCTATTTCAAAAACCCTTCGCTATCTCCAAACTGTGGTTCAAGGTAGGAGCATTACTTAATTTTTATTTTCTCTGAAAAAACATTTTTAATCAGTCTACTTCAGTAACGACTTGGGCAAAAATGAGACTCTTTTTGATAAAGCCGAGATATATTCCGGCGGTCAAACAGTGGACAAGGGCCTTTGCGCAAATTCCGTGGTATGTGGACGAAGGAGCCGAGCAAGTGGCAAAACATCGTATTGAAATGCCCATACCAGACATGCCATCAGATCCACCTTCCAAGCTCGAGCCTATCACAAAATACGTCGTGCAGGACTTGGGATTGATGGACACACAAATTATTGACGGCCGAGACCGAGAAACAGCACTTGGCCCGGCTATCATGATTGTGGGGACCGGCAAGTCGAATCGACACCTTGGTAATGCGGCAGCTCAGTTATTGAACTGGCTGAAAAAAGAATATAATGTAGCAGTGGATACCGAAGGTATCCTGACTGCTAACTTTATCAAGACGCAGAGTCGCCGTGCCCAGCGCCGTGCTAGACAGCAGGGTCTTGGTGAGCAGCAGGCCTGGGTCGAGGCTTTTGCCAAAGTTGGCTCGTGGGTCGTTCTGAACACCAACGTCGATAACATTTACGTCCATTTGCTCACGCAAGACCGCCGAAGAGGATTGGACCTCGAACATCTCTGGACGCACGAACCCCTTCCACAAAAGCAGGATTCGTTCGACGAGCAGTACTTTTCTCCTGCCCAAATGCCATCTGGACGTCGCCAGTTTCATACTGTGGCACCTCGGAACGCTATGGTTTCTGAAAGCTCTCAATCGCTCATGAAGGGTGACTACAAGACCTTGACTGGTGACGAGTCCCTCGTTGCCCACATTAATCATGTGCTTTTAGCTGCGCGTGATCCTAATTACGAGCTTACCGAGTCTTCGCCGGTTGTAACATCATTTTTTGAGTCGTGGCCAACCCTCCCCAGTCGGGAGCAGTGGAAACTACGTTTATACTTTATCGTGACTATTTTCCTTATCAGCAACGATTTCCCCCTTCGGAAGCTCGTGGATCACATCAGACTCCAGCAAGCATCAGGGTATATGGTTGATCAAGAGGATCTGGAACAGATATTCTGCGCTATCGCATACTACAGACAGGCGGAATTTGCTACCAAGCGGTGCACTCCTGAAACTAAAGCACAGTGGACCGAACTTTGTAACGAGAAGAGCAAAACGGTGATCAATATCCACAATATTGTATTCCGATCAAACGGCACGTCATTGCTGGTCAATAACCGCCTCATCACCCTGCTGTTCCGCATGTATGCAGGCCCCAGTGCCACTAGCGTCGATCCACAGACTGCATTAGAAGACCCCACACCGGGACCTCGACCGGCCATGTTTGTGGACTCAAGACTCGCAGCCATTCAAATGATCCTAGAAGACTCTAGCCAGCTTTTGGACAGTCGCACCTTGATGCTGGTGCTTACCACGCTCATTAATGGGCACACCTGGTCAACGTTCTGGCGCATTCTCGACTCTGTGACTGGCATCGCCAATGTTGACGAACGTATAATTGAAGCAGCAGTGGCAATGGTAGTCAAGACCGGAAACGAAGTGCAAATACGCTATGCTCTCGACCGCTTTTTACCCTCTTTATTACTGCAAAACAAAGCGAGTGTCACACCTGCTTTGACTCGTACTCTCAACATCTCGCTCGAGATCGTCGATAGCGAACGAAAGGCTTACCGAGCTCTTCGCCAGGTTATCGCCAATAACCAGAAATGATGTACATATATCTATTTTATTTTACAGTAATGCGAACTCTGCATGCTTGGTGATTTCCGCTTATCTTGACTAAGCACCTCCGTGCCATACCAGGCATTTTCTTTTTTTTCTCTTTATATACAGATCGAACGATGGAGACGATTTCGAGAGAGCTGGGTGGGATGATTGTTGGAAATCGCGGTCCACAGCGTGACTATAACCACGCCGACGACTCGCAGTACAAACGACTTCGAGCAGACGCAGACCGCGAATCCTCCAAATACCGCGAGCTATCAGGGCAAGCGAAACGTGCCTTTGAGTCCGGACGCAAGGAGGAAGCAAGCGAGTTGAGGAAGCAGGCCGCCGTCCACCAGCGTAAAGCAGACGAACTCAATGGTGAAGCGGCCCAGTTCGTATTCAGAGCCAATAATGCAGACTCTGGACCGGACGAAATCGACCTGCATGGCCTGTTTGTACGCGAGGCGTTGTCCGCATTGGACTACCGCATTTCTGCAGCCATCCGCCAAAACGAAAACCATCTTAAAGTAATTGTCGGAAAAGGCTTGCACTCTGAAAATCATATCGCCAAGCTCAAACCAGCAGTGGAACAATTTTGCCAGCAGCGGAATCTCCGGTGGGAGCTGCAGCATGGCAACGCTGGAGTTCTGGTCATTAGACTACCTGGCGGCCCCCAGTCCTTTCCTGCTCCTGGGCAACCCGCGGGTAACGTTGGCTATTCGCAGGCCGGCTATGGTAATGGCCAGCACTATCAACAACAACAGCAGGGCTATGGCGACCACCAGAACAATCACCACTCTTCGGGTGGTGGGTTCTCCGCGAATGATATCAAGAAATATATCAACATTTTCCGGCAGCTTCAGCGCCTTTTCCGCGGCTGCTTCTAGAATACTTAGACATCCAATTATTCAAAGATCCCAGTTCTTTTCAAGAAACTCGATAAAAAAGGGCTCAATGCTTTCAACAGGAATTGTTGCAGTTTTGTTCAATTGAATGAAATTTCTGCGGATTCGGTTGAGCTGAGGTGCAGATAGATTAAGCGGCAACTGGACGCGGATTCCATTCAGCGTGACAGCGGACCCAGCCATGTCACGATGCATATCGAGAGCTTGTTTCACAATAGACGCCGTCGTATTGTTCAACACAGATAGATAGTCTGTGGGAGCTACTGGTTTGATTGAAGTCGCTTGGGTTTGTTTGATGGGCTTCTTTAAGATGACAGCCTGCCAAATATCTGCCATGGGTAGCGGATCTTCTGGCGTCAAAATAAATAGAGGAGAATCCCAACGGTTCATGCTGTTGGGTTCTTCGTACCTGAATACCAAGGCATCGAACAGGTCTTGTGGCCACTTGTCGGTACGCTCATTATTCCATTGATTGCACTGATCTGCAGACGTGCCGACATGGACTACACAGCTGTTAGTTTCAAGTGCTTTGGCGTCACAGTAAAGTTGGTAGCGGAATCCTTTGATATAAGAAAGACTATCGAGAATAACCAAAGACGTCTTTGTTAATAGCCGTTTGACCGCAGACATTTGCTCGCCTCTGGCCATCTTTTCGGTATCTCTCTCGTAATAGCTTGATTTAGGAATATTCAAGCTCTCATCACTCACCACATGGACTTCGGTGACTTCTTCACCCAACCTCGCCTCAAACGCTTCTTTTATTTGCTGCGCTCGTCGACTTTTGCCCGCACTGGGGTAGCCACTCAAAAGTATTAGAGGCATATGTGAAAAAGTCAGTTGGGAGCTCACTTAAGCCAGTTGATTTCTTCCATGACATTTGTGCCTAGGCAGAGTTTTCCTTTGCACAATGTGGTTTTGGCTAACTTTCATGGCCATCATCGCAAGGCACTTCAGACAATGAGGCAACTTGCCTTCCAGGTAGACATGGTGTTGGAGCTACGAGATGCCCGCGCCCCGATCACATCGATCAACCCTTTGTTTGACCGGGTCCTGGCCGGTAAACCCAAACTTGTTCTGTATACCAAGGCTGATCTGAGCCCACTGAAAACATCACAAATTCGAGCCTGGCATCCGGAACAGGATTTCATGAAGATCAACTGTGGGGATCTCAAAGACAGTAAACGGGTCATGACCTACCTGAAAGAAAAATTCGGTGCTATGATTCCATCACCACCATTGGGAACTCGTTTACTGATCACAGGTATGCCTAACGCCGGAAAGTCGACATTTTTGAACAACTTGCGCTCTGTAGGTACAAAAAAACGCAACAAAGTGGCGAGAACCGGCCAAACGCCGGGCGTAACTAGAAACGTTTCCGAAACAGTGATGGTATCCGAATCACCCAAAGTCTTTGTATACGACACACCGGGAGTGTTTGTCCCTCAAGCCGCGAACTCTGAAGAAATGCTCAAGCTGTGTTTGATCAATGCCGTGAATCGCACGCAGGTTGAGCCCTCGGTTCTGGCTGATTTTCTCTTGTACAAACTCAATCTTGCATACCCCAGCCATCCAAAATACCCCGGAACACCCACAAATGACCTACATGTTCTGTTGAGGCGGATATCCAAACTCAAGCACTATAATTACGGTCAACATGAAAATTCAGTTTCCTTGGGATGGATCGACCGATGGGCCCGAGGCAAAGTGGCGAAACTATGCCTGGATGATGTATCGGTTGAGGCTTATAACGAAGCTTTAACCCTAAAACAGCAGCAGCGTATTGATCTCGGCAATATCCCTGTAAGTCGGGACTTGCGCAATCGCTTCATGATTTAACGCTTCCCTAATTTATTTTAAAGTCATAATCTGCCGTCGCCATGAAAAGCGCAGCATTACTTGCCGCCAATTGAGTGATTCCAAATACCAGCGGACTCATTTTCTCAACTTGTTCGAGGAGCCGGTCGAGGGCCTGCTGTAGATTCTCGAATTTGCCATGCAATTGAGCCATTTGCTCGTCAAGCGACCCAGTTGGTGGTATAACTACACTTAATCTCCCGTGTCGGGTCATGTAAAGTTCACGTTCTAACTGTCAGCAAAGATATCATGTCGGATGAGGACGATTTCATGCCGAGTTGCGATGAGGACGACTTTGATTTTGGAGACGAGGACGATATGATGTCACAAACATCAGAAGGAGAATCGCATAGCGAGAACAGGTACTACACTGGCAAGAACTACCGAGCGGACGAGCCACAGCGGGCGGAGCGCGAGTTTCAGAGCGTTATCGACAGTGATGGGAAGAGCGAATGGGCAGCAAAATCAGCCAAACAATTATTTAAGATGAGCATCAACCAAGGAATGGAGTTGGACCGAATAGAAAAGTACTACCGTCAGTTCTTATCCACCGTGCTCTCGGCTGAGACCTCTCGAGCGGACCGTGAAAAATCATTCAACAGTATGCTTGACTTTATTTTGTCCACAAACCCAGAAAATAAACTCGAGTTGCACCAGATTGCTCTCAATGCTTTGGCAGACCATCCGCCAGAGAGCCGATTAGTTTGCCGGGCTCAGTTGAACCTAGCCCGCCTTCTACTCGACCGAAAACAGTATGATTCTGCCTTGAACCTCGTGAACCTCACGATGATATCTCCTGACGTTGAAGGAAGTGCCAGTTGGAAGCTTCCGTTGTTGATTGAGCTTTATGCTTTGCATATTTCTCTGGCATTGGTGCTGGGTACTGGAGAAGAGGCCGAGTACTACGAGCGAGCTAGTGAATTGAAGCTTCATATGACACACCCAAGAATATCAGCAGTTATTCGTGAATGTGGTGGGCTCTTGGCTATCAGAAGTGAGCAATGGAACGAGGCTCGTGACTTGATGCTGGTGAGCTTCAAAAGCTATGATGAGGCCGGCCGCCCCGAAAGATTTAGGGCCTTAAGATATTACGTCTTGGCTTGTATTATGACAGGATCAAAACTAAATCCGTTTGATTCCCAGGAAACAAAGGCATATCATGAGTTCGAAGAGGTCTCTGAGCTAGTGAGCTTGGTAGACGCTTTTTTCCGATTCGATCCAAAATCGTTCAAGTCTACGGTCAAACAGTTTGAGATTGACGCCAAAGACGATGCTACAATGTCATGGTTAATCAACAAGGTACAGAAATCTTTTGATTACCAGGTTTTGGCCCACATTCTCGAGCCTTTCTCTCGAGTCAGTTACCGGTATCTTGCCGACGCCGCTCAGTTAGATATAAAGGAGATTCCTGAGCTTGTTACCCAATTGATTTTGGACCAGGTAATAACCGATGCTCGTCTTGACGACGTCAATGGAATTGTGATTTTATCTGCTCAACCATTTGTTGTTGAAATCCCGCAAGTCTCTAACCTGCCTCTCCCATCTCGCTACAGCGACCAAAACAAAGCAACTGCTAGGCAGCGCGAAATGGAGTCAATCTTAACTGGACGCGAAAGAGTTGCGCAACGCCATCGTGATCCGTACGACGTTAACGATGTGCTAACTCAACTTGTAAAGGCGACTGCTCAAACACAATTGGCCATCGGACGACCACTTTGACCTAAGAATAAATAGAAGACAAATATATATATTTAATAGATAAACACTGCAGTTAAAGTTACACATCAACTGAGCGGATTTTTTCTGCCTCTTCGATGCTGCCAGCGCCCGAGGGGCCAGAGCCGCTACCTGAGGGTCTGCTACCCTCATGAACTACGGGAGGGGCCCAGGAAAGATAGTCACGGCGAACTTCGACGTAGTCGTATGCGAATTCACCGATCTGATCTTCGTCGACACCGCGGGCTTCACCGTCTTCGGAAACCCTAAGAGCGCAGCCAGGAATCTGGTCAATTACGAAGGCAATAATGACCGTTACGACTGCAGTCCAGCCGACACAGGCGGCTGTATATGCGATTTGTTTGTAGATTTGTTTCCAATTGTTTGTGAGCCAGCCTCCTTCAGAGACGGTGTGGCCATCAAGGCCAATGACCCAACTGGCACCAAAAAATGCATTGAAAATGAGACCAATGATTCCAGCGATACCATGCTCTGCAAGGGTATCCATAGAATCGTCAATGCGTAAGATGTATTTCAGCTGGGTGCTGTAGTTACATACCACAGCCGAAACAATGCCCAGAACCATAGACCCCCAAAGAGGAATAACGCCAGAGCAAGGGGTAGCAGCCACCAGGCCAGAAATAATGCCTGAACAGACGGCGACACATGACCATTTTCGCTCAAGACGCCAATCGAGTAAACACCAGGCAAATGCCCCAAAAACTGCAGTGATGTTGGAGTTCCAAACGGCATAAACGGCTCGCAAGTCGGCACCTCCGGCCGAGCCACCGTTGAATCCCAGCCAACCAAACCACAATAGCGCAGTGCCCAATGTGACCATCGAGACGTTGTGGGGTCGGAAATTCAGCAGCAGTTTTTCCTTTCGGCGACCAACGCAAAGAGCGAAAGCCATACCACCAACACCTGAGCCGATTTCGACAGGCCCACCACCAGCATAGTCCAGCACCGACCAGTTGGCGCCGGCCCAGCCGTCGGGGCCCCAAGCCCAATACGCCAAGGGGCAATAAACAAGCGTAGCCCAACAGAATACAAAAAGTAAAGCTGGGAAGAGGCGGCCACGCTCAGCGGTACCGCCCATGAGAATAGCGCAAGTCACGGCGCAGAACATTCCCTGATAAGTTGCGATTAGAAGAGTGGGCAAGCCATCGTAGTCTTTTGGGTCGAAAGCATTGCGCAAAGCGAAATGATGCAAATTTCCAATGAATCTATTCGTTGCCGTGGGCGAGAATGCCAAAGAGTAGCCCCAAAAGTACCACTGGAACATGGCAACGCATCCGGCCATAAGACACAGCCAGATCATGGAAAGCGCCGATTTCCGGCGGGCGAGACCTGAGTATAAGAAGCCAAGTCCTGGAATCATTAAGAACACACAGAGTGTCGACATCAGAATATAACTGATATCACCCGTGTCATAGTTCGGGATATCCGAGGGCGTTGGCGGTGACCTAGGTATAAGGTTCGACATGGTTGATCCCTTCTGTGTTTAACTTAAAACAGGGATGAGAAAATAGCGTCGTTGTACAAGGTGGAAGCTGACTTGCAAATGACCGGTAATTCGAAACTGAGGCTTTTTAGGTGGCTCGATCTGCCTTAAAAAAAGCCTGGCGACATTTTTACTTGACTGCATGCTGCAGGTTGCTCGTTTGTCATTGGCTGCTAAACCTTCCCTATCAGTAGGGCTAGGGCTCGTTGCAGAGATAATGCACGGTATCGCTCCGAGGACGAATTCAGGCACAAGAGCCTATGCGGGTGATGAGGAGACTACGCCATAGTGCGCCGAGGCGTTAGCGCCGGTTAAGCGAATACCAGAGGCCTTGCTCAACGCTTTAGGAGTCCCTGTCATTTATTGCCTCTCGTAGGGTCACCCAATTTCTACACACCCTGTAATCATCCCTTCCTAATTGCCGCTGTCATGCACTAGTGGTTTTTGCCGGAAGCGAGCACCACCATTTGGGCGGCGGGCGGCCCTTACCCCGGTATTATGGGCCATTATCGCACCTAATCTCATGCCGATCGTTTTCTCGGTGCTTTTGTGTAATTCTTGACTTACAGCTTCGCTAAGTTGAGTGCTAGTTAAGTTCTCTAATGTATATCAAAAGATGTCACCTTTGTCGGCAAGCTCCTGCCGCTTACGGTTGCCCCAGTAATCATTGATGGGCCGGTAGTACATGGCTTCAGTTACTGGATGCTTCACGTGCTCAAACCATTGCGGTTTCCACTCCACACCATCTGCTTCTCGCTGCTTTCTGGCCGCACGCTGCTTCTCTTCGACCCGGTGCTTCTCGTCGCTTGCTTCGTCATAGAGTCCTTCCTCCATGCACCTCTGATCGGGGCGCAGGCGCGTGTCAGTGGGGGGGAGCCAAGGCTTGAGGTTGTCGTCAATCGCATTAAGGGTAATTGCGAATGGTGTCAGATTGAAAGGAGCAGGGGGACGCTCGTGAACTTGCCAAAGTAGGATCTTGTGCTTGGTACCAATCTTTTTGGCGTAAATCTTGTCATTCCAGGTGCCAGCAATTGCATAAAGATCGTTTCCTTCGTTGTCTTGGACGGTGCCCTCGAGCTTGTAGGCGGATCCACCCCGCCAGCCCCGAGCCTTGAGCTCCAGAACACATTTATAGCCTGAGGTATGATTCTCCAACGTCAATGTGCCGTAGTTGTCAACCACAGGGTTGCCCACCATAATTCCAACAACCGATGAAGTCACCTTGCGATAAGAATAAAGTTCCTCCTTGACTCCAGCTCCTTCATCAGGTCGCAAATTGATGTACCACAAGCCCAATGGGTTGATGTCAAACGAACGACCATAAAACTTCGATTTGACATTGGAATCACCGTAAAAGTCCCACTTGGGCGATTCGGCCATCAAGGCACCAATCGGGGGATGGTGGGATACCTGTTCGGCCACAAGACGGAAGTGGTTATCGGGGCGACAGTATTCATAGGTCTCGCCAAGCAGAGGGTTGAAAGGCTTGGCAACACGATTGATTGTGGATGAGTATGACGACACAGTGAACGCAGCGACATATGCCATGCGCAAACCAGGGTCTGCCGTGGCCGCCGCCTTATCCAGCAAATCAACATACTCCATATCCTCTGCAGACCGCTGGATCAAAGAAATACATTCATTGAACGTGACAGGAAGTGTCATTCTTGTCATATCTTTTCCAATAAGGTTTTTAAGAATACCCCACAATGAGATCTTTGGCCGGTTGTCATTATCAATTTTGAGTTTCGTTCGAATGCCATTTTCATAACCAGCATAAGAATTATCAGTGGTAATAACTTCAGCCTTTTGCTTTTGTTCCAAAGTATCGGCAATCTCCTCGGTTTCGTCTTGTTGCTCCACAGTTTTCTTAGCAACGGTCGCATCAGCATTTCCGTCGCCAGCTGCAGTTGCCGCTGGCTCCGTAACAGACGGTTCGGCGTGGGATGAAGAAACCCGCTCTTCAACCACGTCATCACCCTCTATAGTATCAAAGAATTCGTCTTCGCTCTCATCAGCATCTCCTTTGAGCACATGCAATTGTTCAAGAACCTTTTCGTGCTCGATTTGGAGATCACGTAGATTGCGGGCCCAAATCTTTTGGTTGTTGTCAGATCTAGCCAAATTTCGCCGCAACCTATTGAGGAACTTGTGATTCAACTGTGTATCGCCTTTGAGATTATCAACTGCTTGCATGCCAAATGTCGCAGCATCAATGACCTTGGTGTTACTCTGGTCTGCACCTTCCTTGATAGAGAGGAAAGTGTCTCGCAATACTTTGAACTGTGTGATAATTGAATCGTAACCTACTGGCGAAGCAGTCATCTCGTCAATTTCAATGTCGTCCTCATCGTCGTCCTCATCGTCATCATCACAGCTGTTAGCAGCTAAATCATTGATAAGAATTCCTGGAGAAGCAGTAGAACTGTTCATACATTGCTGATTGGACTGAGATGAGGCACTTTGGGCACAAGAGTCAACTGTATGGTGTTGCACATTAGAGTTGATCGATGAAGCTGCAATGCTATTGCGCTTTGCATGCCCCATGTAGGATTGAGCGGGTAGGGGGGTAGAATGATCCTTGGCAAACCGGATGGCATTGGATAGTGCCCATACCCACCTGTTGGTTTCCACGGCATGGTTTGCTCGCAAGTGATATTTGGCAACGCCCGTCTTTACCTCGAAGCGGTTTTTTTCACTGGAATCGAGCTTTACTCGAGCACTCTTCATTTCAATAGATCCGCGGCAAGAACTTGCAGAGTCCTCGGGCTTTTTATAATAACTGAGGCGTCCGTCTTTTAGTACAAACCAGCGCTGGCGATAGCCAGTCGTCACGTTGGTCCACTTCTTCAAGTAACCCTCCATGTAGGGATGGTCGTTTACGCCTTTCGACTGCGATGTCTGATCAAGAATTGCTTGCGATTTGGCCGCATCATTCAGCAGTCGCTTGATCTTGTCATTTTTGGTCACTTGAGCCGGCAGCTTGCCGTCGCGGTCCTGGGTCAGCGGGTCGCCGTTGTGAGTCAAGATGAACTTGACGAGCTGTAAATTGTTTGAGCGTGCCGCATCATGAAGAACAGTAGATCCAGTATCGGGGTTGATGCCGTTGATGTCTAGTAATTCCTGGACACGTGAATTGGCGAATACCTCCTCAAGTCGGGGAAGGTCTTGGCTGTCGAATAAAGCCTTCACCTTGATTGCATTACGCTCAATAAACCGGATCTGAGCCTGACGCAGTGTTTCAGTGAGCTGGGGGCTCGAAACACAATCGAACGGGGTCTGACCAGCATCGTTCATGATGGTGTCATTGATGTCGTCTTGTTCTAGCAAGAGCTCCGCGACATCATTACGGCCGCGGGAAACAGCGACATGCAGCGTGGTCGAGCCGCTTTCGTTCGTCTCGTTGATATCTCGATTTTGCTCGCGGTACAGCTGGAGAATCCTCGCCACGAGCTCAATGCTGGACGACGATTCGACTGAGGTGCCCAGTAAAAAGGGTATCTTTTGCAGGTTGTAGACATCAGCGAGTTCGTTGAATTTCTCAACAGACGACTCGCGAAGAGCAGAAATAAGTTTTAGTTTGACCACAGACGAGTCCAGGTCTGTATCCATTCTGCGAGCTTGTCTAATAGCAAACAGAGAGGTTTGTGGGTGTCTGCATACACCCTCCATCGGCGTCTGTTTAGTAAGGCTCGAAGCGCTGGCAAACGTGCCAGGGCGGGGAGCCAAAAGCTTGGACTTGAAGGCGGTGCGAAAATCGCATATTTGGTCGGCCAGCTATTTGATTGAAAAAAGTACTGTTTCCGGAACTCCCAATGACTCCCAGGTCAATTTCCGGCCCTCGCAATACCTCCCTAACCAGCTTCGGCCCGGCCTCCAGTTGAACCCTTACCCCATTACCAGTCTGCCCATAATGTAGTCTGATCACGGAAAAGCCGACCGAGCTTATGCATCCATGAGGGTATGCGCCTTGCTAGCCATCTGACGTTTCCACCGATGATTAAGCCAGCCTAACCTGCTCCAACGTTAACCATCATGTGATCACGTGCTATACGGTATCCGCCTATGACAAAAGCTGGGTTCGCTTACTACATTTCGGGATCTTTTTTGGGTGATTTTTTTCCAGCTTGACAAATTCAGGTCTAAATAATGTTGTCTCGTGGGTTGAGAACAACAGGAAGGCGGTTCTACTCGGACAAGCCGGCGTTCAGTGTTGAGAGCTTCGTCAGCCGTATTGATGCACTCACGAAAAACCGCACGCCTAGCGGGAAGAAGAAGTGGGAAATCTCCGGCAAGAAGGCAGACACCAACACCAACTACCGGCCCCGTCGTCCTCAGCAAAATGGTGTGAATGGCAAGCCAGCTCCGAAGAGAGCTCCCGGTCAGGACAACGCTACCAGGGCCACCCGCCCTCGGGCTCCTATGACCCGGGGACCGAAGCCCAGTGCTGCTCCTGGTGCTGCCCCCAAACCGGTTGCGATCGAAGCAAACCGTGCCGACTCGTTTGCCCAGCCGACATTTACTGGATTCACCGCATCTCCTGCCGCTGCAAAGCCCTTGGCAAAGCGTCGCCCCCAGCCCTTCGACCGCCGTCGTGCCCGTAAGCCCAACAGTGGTCGCGCTCGGGTTGCTGGCCGCAGCAACGCCAACAATGTTTCCCGTGCTACCAGAGCTGCAGAGCCTGAGCAAGGTGTTCTTTCTGGCTCCCAGGCCCTGAACCTTGTCTTGAAAAATTCTGGAAGTGACTCTACTGGCTGCATCGAAGTCGACCGCCTCGATCTGCGGTCCATTTCCTCGTCCTTGGTACCTTCCTCTGTTACTTATAATACCCGTGTGTGGTCTGTTTTGAATAAAACTCGCGTTTCCGACAAGAACGTCGCAGAGCTTGTCGAGCGGGCCGTCCGCGGCACTCTCCAAGTGCCTAGCGATGCCGACCAGTCAGTTGTCAACGCGCTGGCTGGCAATCGGTACTTGAGTGCAGACACTCGGGCTTTCTTGAGCCAGGTTGCTTCTGGTAAAATCACCCCAAAGCAAATCTCTCAGCAATAAAATATTTTGTACCCCGTTAGGGACTATTGTATATACAATGCATAATTATTCGTTAACTTTCGTTTGTCTTACAACCTCTGAAGAGATCATCGAGTTTTCGTACTTGGCCACCCCACGAAGCAACATGGACTGCCGTTTCTCGCTTGATATATGCTTCAAGTGGTAGGAAAAATACTCTGAAAACTCACTGGCTGCCCATTCACTAGGCAAATACTCCAATGCCAGATCCACGCTAATGTCTGATGCCTTTAGTCGCAAAAGCTCGCTAACAACATGTACATTGCGTGAGCCGTGCGTGAGTTGGCGGAAAACTTCCTTGGTCAAGTCCAGCTGCATCCGTGGCCTCTGTTTATCAAGAGTTACACTTGGTGGAGGGGCTGGTCGCCCGTACTCACAATAATAAAATAAGCTCTGGTAGTCTTTAATTTCGTCCAATAGTTCAATGCATTGCGTATGCAGGCCGAGATAACTGTAGAGCGCCGAACGCTCAATGATCAGGTGCCGGGCGTTTTCATCAAGTAAAGCAGTGAGACTAGCCAAGTCAGCCTCAGGGCGACAAAGAAGATGCCAAAAGTCTAGCTCGAGCTGCAAAAACTCGTATATTACCTTGTGTTGTTGTTGCCTTTCCTTTTGCTTCACAATGTATTCGTAAAAGGATCGTTTGGGGTGGGGTAGCTCGGTATACTCCTTGTAGAGTTTTTTGATAAACTTGGATACTTGCGGAGTTTTTGAGCCTTCGACAAGATCAGCCGCAATGATTGTAGTCAAATCGGCTGCAAAGGATGGGTTCTTGACCTCATATACCAAATATTTGAGGTAAGACCTCCAAGCAAGCTCGCCTTGTTGTTTTAATGCATCCAGGACTCGTTGTTCGTCAAATCTCACTTTTGTTGTTTTCAAGATGTTCAAACCAGTATTGACATCCAGACTTGTTACTTCCAAAGCTTTTCTCCAGACCAAGTCTTCATCTTCGCTGTTCTGAAGCACCTCAGACAGTTTTTTTGCCGACGCCTCCTTGTCAAGCGGTATACTTCCTTTGAGTGCTTCAGTCCACAGATCCACAAGCTCGCTGCTCATCTGGCGCTGTGTGTACACCTTTTCTAGCACATCAAACTGTTCTGTAGTACGGAGCTGCTCGATTAGCTGGTCAAAAGAGGCAGTGGCATCTTTGGCAATAAACTGGATATAAGAAGAGCCCTGCAACAGTTTGGCATAGTGTATTTCGAATTTTGCAACATCAGAGTGGCGCTTGATTTGGGCACGAAGAAAAGTTCGGTAAAACCGCAAAGCTGCCTGATCTGATCTGAGACCTTCAAGCTGATCAAGAATTCCTTTCAACCCAGGAAAGGTAGAAGGTGCCGTGCCATCCCCAAATAAAAAAAGTACAATGCCAGAGTCGAGTTTGATGCCGTCCAGCCAGGCACCTACAGCTTTTGTGTACTCTTTGGACACCAATAGCTGCAATGCCAACAGTAAACTAAGGTACTCGAGTTCCCAAACACCTTGCTCGTTTCCAATATCAATCATGTTGGGCGAAATCTCTTCGATTTCACCTTCAAGAATACCTGTTTCAACTCGACTGAAATCTGATGGCGGGAGCCACCAGTCCATGCCATCTTCATAAACAATCAAAGCCATGGCTCGGGTTGAGCATGGTCTGCCTAGCTTTGTGGTCAATTGCTCATTAGGAATCAATGGACCGGGAAAATCAAACACCCTCACGACTGGCCGATCACCAAAGTCATGCTCCAGGAGCTCGATTTTCGTCTTTAGGGAATGTATTAAAAGCTGAGACTTGACAACGGATAGTAAGTACGTGCAATTGATCACAACCGCCTGAGAAGGATACGTGTCCCACATAATAACATCACCCTGGCGAGCGACCTCACCCCCATCGGTCACAATTAGCCCCATAGCCACATCTTCCATAGCGGTGCCTTGTACCACGAGGAACTCGGTGGGACCTGCAATTCCTAGAATTGGTTCCAAGCCCGGTGCAACGGGAAAAAGAGGGATTTTAGAGTCTTTCGACAGGTCTAGCAACTCATATGTATCCTTTGTTGCCAATAATAGTTTGGTGTCAATCCAACAACCTTTAATGATGTCTGGGTACTCGATCGATCGAGCTACTTTTACCGAGTCTTGAGTCAAATCGAGAAACCTAATAGCAGTTGAGGTAAATATGGCGATTTGTTGACGAGGTTTTTGTGGATCTGCATTCTCCTCAAGTACAAACTGACTTACATCTCGCATTGACAGCTTGGGCCATGTCTCCAACTTATCCAAAGAATAACCAGCCACTGTCCTACCAGAGGTCAAAGCAAGGGCACAATTCATTTCATCCAATGCTATAATTTTCTCAATTCCAAGGTCCTTTTTAGTGTGGTTGGTTGCTATCTCCGTCCACTCATTGTCGCCTCTCGAGAGCGCGGTGATAACACCATCCTCTGTGCCCAATATCAAAAAATCCCTGCCATATGTAGCACAGGTTACTTTACCCTGCACCGGCGACTCTTGAAACGCTGGAACGCGCTGCATTAACTCAAGGTGAACGTCGGGTTCGTCAGCAGGAAGTTGACTTGAAGATGTTACCATTTGAGGTACCGTCTACAGCGGTGGTTTCATTGGATCAATTGATTTCCGAAAGATCTCTGGTACGCCAGTCTCTTAAGGCGGTTAGGAGCGACCGTAATCCCGATTGGATAGCAGCAGTACGCGCTTTGCAGCAGTACCTGCCACTTATTGCCGAAAGCTATGAGAGCTACGAGAATGCCACTTTTAAATGGCGACTGCCTTGGTCCGCCCCACACTTTAAAACCAAACTAGTAGGTGGCGACAGCGAATTAGGCATGGTGGCACTTTCTTTGGTGCTTTGCACGGTGCGGGCAGCAGAACAAGCCCAGGGAACTAAAGACTATAAAAGAGCGGGACACTTACTTCGCCAAGGACAATCGTTTGCAATGTATCTTGCAAATCTTCGACTAGAGACGACTGTTGCTGATTTAAGTGCAGCTACGCGGACAGCACTTGTCCACATTCTCGATGCCATGGGTCATCAATTTTTGCTAAATAAATTATTGGGCGAGTTTCCTGAGACTCCAATCAGCGCATCTTCCGCTGTTTTGCACACGCGAATAGCAATGCATGCTTTGGATGAGTATAGACACAGCCTGCAGCTGGTGCCAAAGCAATTGAGAAGCTGGTGCCAGAGCCAGGAAACGTTTTGTGCGGCTACAGGCCAGGTATTATTGGCAATTGAGAGTTCCGAGCGAGGGGCCGTAGGGAAAGCGCTGGGACACCTGAATTTAGCTCGAAACAAGCACAGCTCGCTGGAGCTACTGATTTCCCGCTTGACACAGCAGTACGAGTCTGATAACAAACTTGTATCATTCCAGACCATTCCCAATCCCTCGGAACTTGCTCAATTACCCAGTGGAAGACGGGTCTTTGAGGTTTCAGCGTGGGCTCCGAACCAGCAGAGCGCGGGCCCCGTCCTCACTACGGCCCAGAACTATTACTAGGGGGCGTACGAGTTTTATAGGGCTGTCGACACATAGGACATAAATTTCTTGCATTTTCAACCTGAAGCCACTTGTCAATGCAGTGGCTGTGGAACGAATGTTTACACTCTCCAACAACCAGTGGACACGACTCGCCAGGATATGTGCATGTGGGACAGGTGCCATCAAACTGCACGCGGCAGATGCCACATACTTCATCACCACCCCCGCGCCACGTCCAGCCGCCCACTGGAACCCAATGATTTATAGTAACCTTCATTGTTCGATATATACAGTTGACCTATTAGTCACGACTTTAGTCTCGAGAATCGCTGGAAAACGGCAGGCGTTTTAATTGTGAATTTTGAACTATGACTACCGAGAAAGAACCGGAGCTACGTGAGCAGGACAAATGGTTGCCGATAGCCAATGTTTATCGCATTATGAAGAACGCGTTACCCAAGAATGCCAAAGTATCCAAGGAGGCCAAAGAGTGCGTACAAGAATGCGTGAGCGAGTTTGTGAGTTTCATCACATCGGAGGCGTCTGAAAAGTGCGCCGCCGAACGCCGCAAAACAGTAAATGGCGAAGACATTCTATTCGCAATGACCTCTCTGGGGTTTGAAAATTACTCCGAAGTGCTCAAGATCTACTTGACAAAGTACCGTGAATATTTGGTCACAAAAGATAAAGGGAAACGAAGTGGCAGCATAAACTCCGCTAATACCTCGAGTAACCATCTTCTCGGTGATGCTTCTGGCCACACTCAACACGAAGATGTAAGTAGTGTTGGCTCGGTTGCAGGCGGCGAGGAGCTCACCTTGGACGGCGACGACGTCGATCTGGAGCACCGCGACAGCTATTCCTACAGCTCGTTTGATGAAACGACCGGTAATGAGGTTATTTATGAACAGTACACTGACGATTTTACTAATGTTGACATGGCCGAATTCGCCGGCAACGATGAGAGTAATTAACTATTTAAATGTAGTTCAGGTATGAGACACGTTATTCTTTTTTTTACGACTGCAATACTTCCAACAACAGATCCTTGCCCCGGGCTTCGCTGGCCTTGATGGCCATTCTATGTTTAGACACCGCCTTCTTGAGTTCCTTGGGGTCCTCGAGGCTTTCCAGCAAGGCAACAATAACAAATGTGCCAGGCCCGGCAGCCCATTCTTCGGTATTCTTCAGAGCAAGCTCAGTAACCTGTTCCCGCACTTCTGGAACCTGCTTGACAAGCGTTTTAAGCGTTCGTGAGCACACGGGGTTGGCCAAGGGGTGGGCCTTGACAAGCTCAACTGATCCGCTGAACTCACGGACGACTGCATCAATAGCAGCGGTCCGATTCTCATCTTCACAACCGTGCTCCAGAAGCTCCCCAATAAACTGCATTCCCAGAGGATCTTTCATCAGTTCAGACGCAGAGTCGGCAACCGTTCGGTACATCAAAGGAGCGAATTGTTTTAAAAGCTCGAGGCGGCGTGTCTCGTCGTCTTTTTTGGAAGTGGCAGACTTGAGTGCATCAACTTCATCGAATCGCTCAAGGATATCTTTGCTAAAGTAGCGAGGAGACCGGCCGGTAAGCAAATACAATAAAGGACGACGGCCATACTTGTGGACAATCAGATCGAGGATTTGGTCTTCAAAAATGGGCATAAATGATTTTCCAACAAACACGGTATCGTCAACGGTGGAGAAAATAGTTGTGAGCACAAGGTTACCGTACTGATCTGTGGCAAGTTTGTCGCCGAATGGTTTGAGGGCACGCAACAACTTCTTACGCTCTTTGGCAGAGGCTAGAGCAAGAACAAGCATGGCAACATGGGAACCATCAGAGGTGTGAACAAACTCGGCAAACTGCTCAGTGATCAGGTCTACAAACGTTTCCCGATCAGAGCCCTCCGGGTTGATGTTGCGAACATACTCGAGCATTGCAGCATGGATAATTTCAAAACCAATTGATCCTTTGTTCACAGCAGCAGTAATAACCTGGTTGAGGTTTTCAAGCAGGAACGGACGCTTGTCAGGCTTTTCGGCAATGATTTCAGCAAGGTTTGCCTTGTCCTTTCCAGCATCCCGAACCAGAGCAAACTCGCCACCATAGAACTCCCGCAGAATCTGACGGCGCTGTGCAGCGGTAGAATAATCACGGAAACAGTCCTCAATAACATAGGCGCCTTCTCGGTGCTTGATGAGTTTACGAAAATTGCCATGCAGCTCATCGATGATCTGTTTGCGCACTTTGGCGTTACCGTAATGCATCATCTTAACCAATAGATACTTACCATACGCACTTTTGGCCAACTCGACGTAACTGCCCTTGAGAGCGTTGGTGATGAAGGTACGCTTTTCCTGATCAGCGTACTTGAAAATAGTCTGCACAACCCGAGAAGAGTCGTGGCGAAGAACCAGTTCTTTGAAGCGGTCCTTACAAAGATCAAACGCCTGCTGGACAAGCTTTTTACGAGTCTCTGCCGGCAGAGTTTTGGCTCGCAGCCGCTCCCAGACAATCTTGATCTCTTGAATCTCCTGGCCGTGGGCCTTTTTCAGTTTACGCTCTTGGCGAAGCTGCTTCTGCTCTTTGCGCTTCTCTTTCGACTGGGCAACTTCTTCTTCTGTTTTACCATTGGTCTCGCTACTGGACTCCTGGTCCTCGTTTTCAGACTCGTCAAGCTCGTCCTGCGACTCATCCAATTCGTCGGCAGAACTGTCTTGAGACAATCTGGAATCGGCATCAGACATATCGATCTCCTCTTCGCTTGACATGTCGGGCTCCTCCTCTTGCTTTTTAACCTTCTTAGCCGGCAAGGCCTGCTTCAACTCATTTTTCCGTTTCGACATGGAGATGAAAATTTTGTTAGGTAATTTTTTTTTCTCTTAGAAACCACCACATTTTAATAATTCCATCTGCAGGAAAAATGCTAAATCTATAATTCATCGTGGCTGCCCGAATGCTGTGGAATAACCACGTACTCAATGTATAATTTACCGTGTCCGCTGCCATTTTGAATCGGCATTCCTTCGTCTTCGATGACTTCGATTTCACCGTTTTGAACAGAGACACCTTTCTTTCGGGAAAGGGTGATGGTAGAGTCCAGGTCGAGGCGGGTGATTTCGCGCTGCCAGCCGCCGTTTTGAGCCTGCTTCGAGCTAAGCATCTCTTTGCGGAACAGATTGGCGCCGCGTCGTCGATAGCCGTAGTGGTCTTTGGGAGACTGAGTCAAGTGCACGATCAGGTCTCCAGCTTGCCAGTCGGGGCTTTGGTCTGCTTCGCCTTCCAGAACGTAATTCCATGAGCGAGGTGCGCCAGCATCAATAAACACATTGTAAGGGCGTCGTTCTCTCATGACGCGAGAACCTTTACATTGTTTGCAAGGGTGAGCGATCACCGAGCCCTTGCCGTTGCATTTATCGCAGGGATACTGGACCCTCTGGACGATTCCTGGAGCGATCTGATGCTCGGTAAGAATGCTTCCTTGGCCTCGGCACTTGGGACATGTGTCCGTTTTCCCGTCCGCAGACCCAGACCCATCACACTCGTCACAGATACCCTGCAAGTCAACGTTGATCTCAATAACTCTGCCCTTATAAATATCAGAAAGCGAAACGTACATTTCAGTAGTCGCGTCAGGGCCCCGTTGCCGCCCCCGATTGAACCCACCGAATCCGCCGCTGAAAAAGTGGCTAAAGATGTCCATGGGATCTTGATGGTGCTGGCCCTTAAGTCCGGCTTCGCCATACCGGTCGTATTTCGCTCGCTGTTCTTTATCGCTCAGCACTTCATACGCGTTGCCAATCTCAATGAACTTGTTGTGCGCGTCCTCGTTACCGGGGTTCTTGTCCGGATGGTACTGGCGACTCAAAGCCCGGTACGCCTTTTTGATTTCCCGGTCAGTGGCCCTTTTAGAAACCCCAAGAACTTCATATAAATCACCTGCAACAACAACGGCCAAAGCGTACAGCAGACTCAGCCACCACTGCCATATCATTTTAACTGGTCCTCAAAAGTGTGGTAGGAAACTAAAACGTCTCTTCCTGGGTAGCTGCGGTGTCATCATCCACATGCATGAAATTATTCATTTGTCGTTGGGCCCGCAGGCCAACCATGTAAATGGTCAGTTTTACGACTTGCAATCGAATTATTTTGTGTATACAGATGAGGAAGCTGCCAACTCTTTGGTGGATCCGAGCGTGAGGTTTGTAGCCGGCAAAGAGTACACGCCACGGGCAGGGTTCTGGGATTTCCGGGGAGGTTTTGGCAAGCGGTTGCGATACAATTCCAATTACGAGCCCCACCAGACTGCAGAGGAGCTGGGCGAGCAGGTCGAAAGGCTCCAAGTGCTTGACGATGTCAAGATCCAGCACGCAGACTTGTACTGGGCGGCAAACCTTAAATTTCCTCTGCACCCGAAGCAACAGTTTGAGCTGTTGGATTGGGAATTCGATCCCATCGAAGCTCCATACGGCAAACCCCGGGGTTCCCCACAGAATGAAAGTGCTAATAGCTTTATGACATTTGCCCAGGGCCAAGATCAGTACAATGTGGTTGATACTGAGTTTCACCACGAGTATCTCGACAGCACAGTCCGCCGTTTATTTGAACAATGCGATAACTTGTCTGGAATCAACATTCTCACAGACTTTACAGGGTGGGGAGGATTCACTGTGGGGCTTTTAGAGCCGCTTCGAGATGACTTTTCTCAAAAAGTCCCGGTATTCTCATGGGCATCTGGAGCGTGGTCTTTGAAAACCCAATTCAGGGCTATTATTGACTCCTACCTAGAAACAGTACTTGGTCTTACTGAGTTTAGTGACTTGGTTATTCCATTAAAACTGGATCGAGGGTCTTCATTCGCAGAAAACGCTGAAAAGATCAACCTGCTGTTCGAAACCGTGGGCGTCGTTTCGTCTCTGCGGAAAAACCGAGTATCCATGGCTACAGTCGTCCAAGACCTCACAATTGGATCAAATGCAAACATAGTCACCGGCACTACTAATTATCAAGACCTTGTCCCTACCGATCTAAGCGGCGAAAAGGTAGAATCCAAGACCGGGTTTCTGCGGCCATCAACGACATTGTCACCTAGTCAACAAACAAGCCTTTGGGACCAGAACCTCAATCCTCAAAGGCTCGTCGAAAATGGTACTTATGCGCACCGTATACACAAACATTATGTTCCACAAAGTCGATCGGCACCCGACAGTTATTTGTACGCCGAGCTGAGTCTGAACGACGGCATCAAAAAGCTGCAAAATTTGGTGGGATTCAACCATGATCTCAAAGTTCGTGTTTTAGACCTCGTCGAGAACTACAGATGGGGCTATGAGTCTGATAGTGATGAAATAGAATAAATATTTACTCAGAGTCCGAGTAGGTTACAACAGATCGCAATTTGAGCTTTTTCCGAGCTGCCGACGAAATCAACCCGGTCTCCTTGGCTGGTTCAGTTTGATTCAAATCTGGCTGGACCTTTGCAGCAGGCTCCTCCAAAAGTCGTTTGATGGTTCTAACTGCGCGGTCATCTGCAGTCTCATCGTCGTCATGTGAGGCCCATCGTACAACTAGTGTTTCTTTGCCGGTGATTGTTTGATGCGCCATAGCCTCCTTTGCGAATTGCGCGTAAATCTCCGACTCAAAAGTAACAAAATAAATACCCCGCGTGTCCATTTTCTTGATCTTCGCGATCGGACCCCACTGCTTGAAAGCCCTACGAACAAGTCTCTGGGAATCTTTAGACTTGTCAAGGTACCCAACAAACAGAGTGCGATTCTCTCTCAAGAAAGACCCCACGCCACTCATGTCGTCTCGGTAATGAGCGAACTTGTCGCGGCCAAAACAATCTACACTAGCAGCAAATACGTCGGTGTCTGTGGGAAGACGATGAAGAAATGAGCACTTTTCACCTTTATAACACATTCCTCTCGCAAAATGTAGACAAAAGTAAGAGCCCTTGACTTTACTTCCCTTGGTATAACCTGTGTCCTTTTCCGGGTTGCATTTATAGGGACTTCGTCGCCGTTTCGCGTTAGGGTCTCTATCTCCTCCAGCCCATTTATCGTACCATATATTATAAACTTGCCCAGGCTGGTGCTGGACGTCACCAGCCTTGTCAAGCTCGCTTTCACTGACTTGGACCCGAGCCGGTCGATCCATTCTGACCTAATCTGAAAATAGTTACGGTAAAGCCTATGAAGTTTATTATAATAAAGGGTCAAGTCCCCATGTGTACTTTTATGCTAGATTAATGTTGGATTCTTGATTAATCTCATCAGGTGGGGTAGATTCCAGCTCGTCAGATGGGTTAGATTGCAGCTCATCAGGTGGTATAGATTGCGACTCGTTTAGCTGTTTTTCCGCGGCCTCTAATGCCCTTATCGCCCACCCTTCCGCAGTTTCTGGTGAATCGTTGTACTCGCCAGTCTTTTTATCATACTTCAACGGATCGCATTTAAGACTAGCACGTAGTTCACGAATCCGATCAACCATCCACCCAGTCGTAACTCTAGGTGCAAGTCCAAACTTCTTAACGTAGTCATTTCGATCCCGCGTGGCTTTGCTGCCCAGAACAATGTTGTTGTGTTGAAGTTGGCATGTGCCTTTCCAATAACTCCAAACATAGCAGGTATTGTGCTTTTCACAGGCCTTGCGGCAATCCTCTTTCTTTTTGTGAGGATAGATTTCTTTTCCATCGCCATCCTCGAACGGTGTGTTCTCTCTCTCCGAGATTGTATATGTTGAACGTCCCATATACCAACCTTCTCTCTCCTCAACGACATACGGGAGCACAAAATCTCTATAAAAGTCGTTGTAGAGAGTTGGAACTCCTTTAGGTCTGAGCCTCTCATACTCCCACAGAACTTCGATATCGTGGCCTGTCAAGTGATGGAAGGTTAACAGTGGCTCGCACATGTCTTCAGGGCCGTACTCGGCAAGGTTCACTGCTTCACCTTGGAATCGGATCATGGGGTACTCCTCACTCTCGGGGTCCAACGTAACATCGCCCTTTTCAAAAAGCGCCCACGCAACCATCAGATCGCCGCAACACTGCCTCATTGCTCTCAAAGACCAATCTTCGATGGTCTCTTGAATAGTAGAGTTTGAGTCGGGCCCAAATAAGGTATCCATTGCGCCCTTTGACAAAACGACGCCGGAGCCTCCATGGGCAAAGAACGAAACTTTCTTGCCATTATGCACAGCGGGGCTAGGGAACCAGGCACGGTGTCCAAGATAAATTGGTTTCTTATGGTCAATTTTGCTCAGGTACTGTTCAAGATTGTCCCACATAACAAACGTGTCGTCGTCGATGAACACAAACCATTTAGATTCAGGTCGCTTTGTGTACGCATCAGCTAGCATGGGAATATTCTTGAATCGGTCTGTAGCCCAGCCATCTTTTCTACCTCTGAGATCAAGAATATCGGTACCCCAGTTGTAACCTTCATTATGCATTTTGCGCATCAAACGATAAGTAGTCATGTCGTCGCTCTCCAAAACCTCCTTAGGAAGATCCTTCAAGATGTCAATAACCTCATGGCCTCCGACAGAACCTGCCAAATCAGAGTATAGAGCAAAATTCTTGACTCTAGTCAGCGTGGTCACTAGATGAATAGGTAGACGATCCCACATGACAGTTCCACCAGTTTTCAGCATCACGAATATTTCTTCACTCAAAGTGCTAGAATAGTCCGCTACCAGAGTCTGTTCAAGGTACTTTGCTGGGTTGTTGAAAAAAGATGGCGGATACTGCCTGGGCCGCTCGGGCTCTGGTTTGTCTTTGGAACCGTCGAATATTGTGTCGCCCCGCCAAACGTCGACGCTTTCGTAGCGATTCCGCATATCCTTGCTGGGTACTACATGCTCAAAGTCCAGCATCTTATGGTCTGCTTCCATAGGTGGCCTTGATCGGTGCCGCCCTTCAGGAAACCCTCTACAAAACCCATGGAGATCTGCGTAACGCCCTCCCTCACTTTCGTTTAGGAATAGGAGGAAAACGGCGGTCACACAGAGCAACAAAGTCAAGCTGGCAATGATACCCTGCTTCTTCGAAAGCACATACATCATACTAGTTGAATGACTCCAGCGGTTCCAAATGGTGTCTTGCGATCGGCTACAGTATAAAAAAAGGTATGCTAGCGTAATACTAATCTTGGGCCACATCAAGGTGCAGCAGTGTGCCGATCGGAAATATTAAGTTCCAAACCGCGACAAAAAAAAGTTAGTTTCGCAAATACGTAGTAGAAATATGGAATCTTCCTTGTTTAATGAGAAGGTAAGATGAAGCGTACCTTGTAGCCTTCACTGCGCGATAATACTGACGCGCGCCTAAGCGCGCACCACCCTGACGTGTATAAAACGCAAGGTCGTCATACGATGAGTATAAGTGCTCAAAAGCTATCCGAATGTTTTTACTACGGCTTTGTACTGTAGGTAGTGCGATATCAGTCTATCTGGGGTCATATATGTGGCCGAATGTGCGAAACACTTGTTCATAGCTTGGCTTGCAGACATGCGCGTGCAAGCACAGACAGAGAACAAGGTTTGGGCAAGGTCCCTGTCAGAGAATTTTAAGACGGAAGCTGCAGCAGTACTAAAGTTCGAAGCAGCAGATACAAAAATACTTAATTAACTACTTTCCTCAGCGGCAAGCTCAGCCTCGAGTTCGTAATCATTCATTTCCGAGGGATCCTGGTATTCCGGTTCGCTATCTGAGGCACTGTCTGCCATCTCTTCATCAGATGCACCCTCGCTGTCACTGCCCTCCGTCTGCATTTTCGCCTTGAGTTTACCGCGCTGACTGCGGCTCGTCTGAGCTTCTCTCTTCTTGCGCACGTTCTCTTCCTGCTGTTTACGACGCTGCTCGCGCAGCGCGTCGCGTTGCCGGTGCTTATCCTCGAGCTTAGCCGCTTGTTTGGCAGTACGGGTCTCGTGAGCATGGAAAAGAGTTTTGCCCTGGCATAGACCATCCTCAACCTTGAGCACCGAGAGTCTGAGACGGGGTCCGACCTCTACAAGCTTGACGGCCTTACGGATACGCTGCTGCTCGGTAACCGTACCTGCAGCAGGTGTGTCGAGCACCTCGTCTTCACCCTCCGAGTCGCTTTGGCCAGGATCCATCATGTAGTCTGCAGCCTCACCTAATCTGCTCAAATCTGGTAGATCTCTATGGCCCATCTTGGCTGCAGACAGCTTTTTGATGGCTCTGGATGCACCCACTGTACGGGTGACCAAAGCGTAGTGTCTAATATCGATGTCACCAGTCTCAGCATCGCGGTTGACCAGCATAACCCGCTGAATAGAAGAGAGTTTGGTTTTCTGAATATCGATTGTAGGCAGCATGTTTTGGAAAGTAGAGGTAATCAATGCATCGAGATCACTGGTTTTTTCCGTGCTGAAATTGTTCATGACCAGAACAGGTGGGTTTTGTAGCTCTCGTGTCAAAGCATGGGGATGTGTTTGGGTCTTCTGAATGTCCCGAGCCAACGAATACTGCTTGACCTTAAAATACACCGTTGGGCCCCGAGGAGTTCTGGCGATTCGTAAAGTAGTGTTGCCTGTATGGGTTTGAGAAAAAAGGAAAAAGTGTGAGACTCCAAGTGGGCCGGCCATAACCAGAAAGTCTTTCAGCCTGTTGGCCTTCCGTTCCTTCAATCGAGCTGCGGTATGCGGCTGCATCATGGCTCTGAAATCACGCACGAGTGCGCTTAATGCTTTCGTAGGATGCCGTTTCGCATCGCCCATCTTCACAACCATTGATTTAGGCACATCTTCAACCCCAGTCTCAACCACGTGGGTTCTTCTCTTATGTCTTCGTTTAGCCATGATTTGAAGGTTGAAAAGTTTTGGCTGATGTAATTTCTTTTTCAAGCAGGCGATCCGTGAACCTGAAAAAGTAACGTGTAAGTCGAATGGGGCTAGCAATTCAATAATTTGCATATTTAGAAGAGATTGGAAACAGGCACCCTGTTTTATTTCGTCCCGCAAATTTTTTTTCCTCGCGGTCGTTGAAGTTCAATATCTGCGTCTTAGCTAATTTTTTCTTTCTGTAATGCCAAAATCTTTCAAAGAGCTCGGTGTTATAGACATCTTAGCAGATGCTTGCGAAACACTGAAGTTCAAGACCCCATCTCCTATTCAGGAACAGTCTATTCCCTATGCTTTAGAGGGCAGAGACATTATGGGGTTTGCAGCCACGGGATCAGGAAAGACAGCTGCATTCGCCCTCCCGGTTCTGCAGGCTCTTTATGAGAACCCCCAGCCACTGTTTTGCTGTGTTTTGTCGCCAACCCGTGAATTGGCACACCAGACCGCCCAGCAATTCCAGGCATTGGGCTCTACAATGGGTGTAAAGACTACTGTAATTATTGGCGGTGAAGATCAGATGCAACAAGCCGTTGCCCTGAGTAAAAAGCCCCATATCATTGTTGCAACTCCTGGCCGATTGCTGGATCATCTTGAAAAAACTAAAGGTTTCAACCTGCGCTACCTCAAGTATTTGGTCCTTGACGAAGCCGACCGTCTGCTGGATATGGACTTTAAGGAGCCTATCAACAAAATTTTGGCGGTGATCCCGAAAGACCGACACACTTATCTTTTCTCTGCCACTCCCTCCAAGGAGATTGAGCAACTTCAGCGGGCGTCGCTGCGAAATCCTGTACGAGTTCAGGTCTCAAACAGAATCACCACCGTTGACACCCTTCTTGAGTACTATTTATTCACACCACTCAAACATAAAGATGCCACACTCGTCTATATACTGAACGAGCTAGCTGGTAAGTCGATTATTGTATTCGTCAACACTAAAGATGAGGGCACCCGTATTCCGTTGATGTTGGAAACTCTCAAGTTCAGCGTAGTTCCAATCAACGGTAACATGAGCCAGTCGGCCCGCCTGGGTGCCTTGAACAAGTTCAGGGCAGGTAATAAATCAATTCTGGTCGCTACAAACGTTGCTGCTCGTGGTTTAGATATTCCCCAAGTCGACGTTGTTATCAACTACTCGGTGCCTGATAATGCAGCGGAATACGTCCACCGGGTTGGGCGTACAGCCCGTGCCGGACGGTCGGGTAAAGCTATTACCATGTGTGCACAGTACGATGTTGTACGTTACACAAACATTGAAAAAGAAGTGCATGGCGACAAAAAGCTGCCGGAATATCCTATTGACAAAGAAGGTGTAATGCTCTTGATGGGCAGCATTGACGAGGCTCAACGGCAAGCTAAAATCTCGATGGCAAGGCTCCACGAAAAGATGGGTAAGAGACCTGGCTTCAAGAAGCGTAAGCGTGGCGACGATGAGGATGAGTAGGTTAATGCAGTTTAATGCGTTTGGTCCAGTGTCGAGTTAGGACGTAGACAATAGTCAAACTAGCCAGCATGGCCACGGATGTAGTATAAAAGATCGCTTTTAGACCAAACGTCTGGTATGTCATTGCAAACTCAACGCCAAAGATTATGAGTCCAATGGCAGGACCCAGGATAAACATACCCCAATAGGTAGCGAATCCGTCGAGCCCCCAGACTTTTGTGACGAGAATAGGATAAAGCGTAAAGACAGTACCGTAACCGAAACCATTAATGAGACTGCTGATAGAGAACCAAGAACCAAACCATCCCGCAGCGAGGGCGAACTGGTTCACGGCCAAAACCCCGCATATAAACACGAGCATGCTCGCGGGCGAAATGTGATGACCATACATGTCCACATGGGCACCCATTAACAGCCGGGAAATTGTGCTGGTTAAAGAAAACATGTTGACTTGCGTGCTAGTGGAGGGGCGGGGATGGACTTTTTCGCTGATGAGCCCAAGGTTGTTGAGATACATTTCCAAAGGCCCTGAAACTAGGATGAAAGATACTAGCAAAATCCAAGGTTCACGATCGTTTACGAACCGATGGAAATGGCTAACCGGTACTTCTTCACCCGACTCCAGAACGGGACTAGGCACAACGTCAATATGAGCCAGCCGGGGGAGGACCCACGACAATACACCTAGGATGAAAAGGACAACGCCTAAAACATTGAACACACGCACTACGGCTGCATCCGAGTCACCATCATTGCCAAGAGCCCAGGATATGACACTAGAGTATATCAACGACGAGAGACCGTAGGCGGTAGTTGGTACCGAAATAGCCAAAACCGAGAGCTTGGGATACAATCGCGTACATGAAACCAGCGCAGAAATGTAGACTGCAGAGGTTGCCACACCAATAAGCGCAAAAGAAAACGCCATATAAATATAACTAGCATGGTTGGCGAATGTCCAGCCGGCCCCGAGATACCCGATGAGAAACAGCACTGCCCCCAGCGCACCCAGGTTTGACAGGCGGTAAGTATCCGCCAAATAGCCAAGGTACGGCACAATCACATACAAACCGACTTCCGCTGCGATAGAGACGGCATTGATCTGCAGTGTGGAGTACCCTAATGTGTTGCTGAATTCTTGAGTGTAGAGCGGGAAAACAGTGACAGAGGCGCAAAGCAGACACACGGCAGCGCTTGCCGAGTAGACGCTGACCCGCCACTTTTTGTGCTCTATCATTGACACAACGAAACGGCGCCGTCGCTTGAGTGCTTTAGGTAAACCCTCCCCCTGGGGTGCCCCGGACGGCGGATTTCACGTGACCCTATCAGCTGAAAGGCGAGTGTAATGATTTTGTCATCCAATTTACTACAGCAATGGGATTCGATTTCAACAAGGGATTAGCGTCTTTGCAGACATCAATGTCTGATCTAGGCTCGACTATTCAGCCATTCGCGATGCGGACACGCCAGATGCTGAACGAGAAACTTGGTAATGCCGACGAAGTGACTGCTCTTCCTGAAGAGTATTTGGAGCTGGAGCGCCGGGTTGATTCTCTCAAGTCGGTCGTGCAGAAGGTGTCTACGGTCACTGGTGTCTACGAGCACGATGGTTACGACTATCCGCCCAACTTCAAGGAGTCCTTGACTGATCTTTCTCGCACCGTGCAGACGCGGGTCAGTGAGGCGGCGAACGCGCAGTCGGCGAGCGACCTGGGCACCATTTTGTCCGGCGGCCGTGACAGCAAGAAGCCTCCCAAGACCCTGAATCACGCTATTGCTCGCTCGTTTGCCTCTGCCAAGGCCGATCTTGCCGACAGCGTTGCCACGCCTTTGGCGTCCGCTCTGACCAGCCTTTCTGAGACTGAACAGACAATTGGCGTCGCCCACGTCGAGCAGGACTCCCAGATCTCCCAGGTGCATGCTTCGTTGCAGACTGTTGTTGACACTTCCCTTACGTTCGCTGCCAAGGCCCGTAAAAACGTCCACCAGGCCCGTCTTAGTCTGGACGCTGCCAAGTCGGCTTTGAAAACCGCGGCGGCTGAGCAGGTTGCCGACCGCCAAACCGACGTCGAGAAGGCCGAGGACGAGTTTGTTGCTGCAATTGAGGATGCTGTCACCGTCATGAAAAACGTTCTTGAGACCCCGGAGGTTGTGCGTGCTTTGGCTCAGTTTGCAGAGGCCCAACTCGCTTTCCATAAGCAGGCTGTAGAGCAGCTCGAGTCGGTTGTGCCCGAGCTCGACAAGTTCCGTGATGAGCAGGAGGCCAGTTACCGTGAGAGCCGTCAGTAGTTAAGTATTCTTTTTTTACTATCTTTTTACATTGGACTACTTGTCCTCTTCGTCTCCGAAATCAACCTCAAACTCAGCGGCAACGTCCCAGCGAGAACTGGGGGCATTTCGGGAGACGTACTTGACAAACTGGAGCACTTCTTTTTCGCGTAAATAAATCACCAGCTCGTTCGCAACAGGAGCAGAGCTGTGGAGCACCATCGATTCAGCCGCCGCTCGATAAACCGCTGGATCGTCGTCATTGTCTTCCGTAGCCATCAGCATTTCATATCCGCCTACATCATCCGACCATTTTGCAGACGTAAGATGAAGCGTAGCTTCCAGAAGCGCGTCTTGAGGAAGCCCAGTAGCCAAAGTGAAATCGTGACCGGGACGGAACCGACGCGCCTCCGCGTAACGAGACTTGGGCTCCAAGCTGGTGATAGCATTAACAAAGCGACCAAATTGTGGGGACACTATGAAATCACGAATCTTTTGCAATTCAACATGGGCAGCCAGATCCTCAGTAGCAGGGACTTGCTCGTCATTTGCAATGAACATATAGTGACGAATATGCGAGGGCTTGGCCAACTGCCAGGGAGCTGAGATATCCTTCTCAGTTTTGGGGATTTTGGCCAGGTCATCCACCTCAGTAGCCTGAGCAATCTTGTCGAAAACATCAGGCTTGAGGAAGTTTGCAATTGTTAAAACACTGGCAGAGGTAAACGTCTCCAACAATGACGGCACGCGGTCCAACACGTCCTGGTTGATAAACTCGCCCAGGTACTCTTTATCTGCCTCGGAAAGCTCAGCTTTCTCATCGTCCGTATACGGCTCGAAATGATGGGAGTCACCCCGGCCTGATAATTGAGCCAGAGTGGCCTTGGACCCGTCGTCCTCTGCCAGTATGTTCGCATCGTATCCTGGTTCGTCCGGATGAGGAATATGGAACCAACCAGAAATTGATAGCCGCGGTTGGTCTACGTAAACCTCCTCAACATCGTGGAAGGAGTAGCCTGGTTGAACCTTGAAGAACGACAGCTGATTCCACTCGGGGGGGATCTCCTTGCTGAAATCGGCCGCTGGGACACCTGGTTGCTCAATGGGGAAGAGGCGAAGCGAACCACCCCATTTCGGGTCCCAGGGGGTGTCTGGGGGCACCAAGTACAGGATATACGAGATCCGACGAGTTCCAATAACATCGTCGTGGTTCAGTAAATGACATCCCTTGTTGTACAAATTAATACTGAGATCCTGCTGCTTTCCTGATAGAGGTCCACAATCAGTGACGTAGCTCATCATTTCCCGAAACTCCTTCGAATAAAGGCCCTCCCGAACTTTTGCAACCGCCTTGAGCTTCGACAGCTCGTCAGTGTCCAACCCACTGAGATTGGCAAGATCTCCCGTCTGGTTGACCTTGTAAATGTCAGTCTCCTTCTGGGTAAAGTGCAAATGTTCCAGGATCTCTTCCCGAGCCTGTCTCAGCAACTTATCGTTAAGCAGCCCGTGGATCACACCATGCTTGTAAGGATCAGAGTTACGGATCGAGTCTCTTAATTCGTCCTGGAACTTTGGGTCAAGAATTCCCGGCCTGAGCGCCTCTTCCGGAAGCACTTTGGCTTCACTCACCCCATTGTCTGTACGTTGTTTTTTCACCTCAGGTTCACTCATAATGCTGAAATCACCTTACAGAAAAATCACCTTTTTCTCGACGACGTAATATTCACTGTCCTGGTTAGTAAGCAGATCGTCCCTCACAACGATGTTTGGCGTGCAGTTAACTCGCCGGTTGGTTCGACCGCCAACGGCACTCTTAAGGCCGCAGATGTCTATGCTAATTCCTCGGCTGGGTGTGCGATTCAACAGCAAGCTGCCCCAGTCCACTGACCCGGACAGTGACCTTCAGTCAAACGATCTCAAGGCTCGCCTGCCCAAGTTTTCCTTGCACAAAGACGCTGCCCCGACTCTGCTTCCAAAACCAGACACGCCACGGGTCGGCCCGAACATGACGTTCCCGCAGCTCATGGAACGCTTCAGGCATTTCCAGGGCCCTGAACTGTTGTACATGTCGGAGTCTCACCGGCTGTACTTTATGGCCTGCTTCGCTCTGGCTTTCATTTGTGCCTACAACGTGTTTGATCTGGGCGACCAAGTAGTGCCCCTTATGATCAAATCTTACGAGGAGAATGACCTGGATGGCACCCCCATTGAGAACCTGGGCCAGTTGGTCAAGCGCTTCGGTCTAGTCGGTTTGCTGTGCGGCGTTTACCTTATCGCTGGCCTGGTGGTCGCTACCGTTCCTAGTCGTCTTGTTAGACGTATAGAGTATGTCCCCGGGGTCGAGGTTACCAAAATGGTGACCCATCCCCTGATCCCGGGCCGCCCATCTCCAGTTGTGTCGGTTCCAATGGCCAATTTATCCATTGGCAAACGCACTAAAGTCTGGACAGGCGAGGGCTTTTATGGCACTACCTCTAAGTCGTCATTCTTCTTTTTCGTCTGGGAAAAGGGCCGACGCCTTCCCTGGATCGTCGACCGAAGCGGTTGGTTCTGGGGGGATGGCCGTGTTTACGATGTGATCCTGGGAAAAGAGCCTGTGCTGCTTGCCGAAAAAGGTATCTCCTACGACGATGCTCTGCGTCACCAAATGGCCGTTGCTGAAAAGAAGAAGGCAGAGCTTCGCCGCGAACTAGGTCCTGCCTGGCGCTATAAAGCTATGGGTCAGCTCATGAAAGAGGACATTGAAAAGTTCTCTGCCAAAGGTAAGTCCGCTGTGCTTGGAACCTTGAAAAAGTCTCCCAAGAGCATAGGCCCAAAACCTGACGATTCCGCCAAAAAATAGATTGTACATACAAAATTAATCCTTTAAACAGCTCTATACCCCTATTTGGCATTCAGGTAAAATGCCAAACGGTCCAAGTAAATGTCACCCATTTTCTGGCCACGATTCAAAAATTGAGGTGGAACGGAGACCATTGCTTGCAAGGCCTTTGGCGATGCCTTCTTCTTCAGAACTTTCAGGGTCACATCAAACGGCACTGCGGGTTTCGGGGCGGTTAGAGAGTCAAAGATCCTGTCGCGCAACACCGAGGGTTTCGGTTTAGAAGCAAGCAACGCATCACGAGTAGCCAGTCTGGAAGCTTTGGAAATAGTCTGATCAAGATTGAATCCCTGATCAACAGAGAACTCAAGCAAAGCGGCAAGGTCTATGATGGTTTGAGTGATAACGGGCTTGGGGAGCTCCTTGGGCTTTGTGGCCTCTTTCTTGGGTGCAGGCTCGTAGCTGAGGTCCAAGTGTGTGCGCTTTTCAATTATTTTGGCCTCCTCTGCGGGCCACGAAGAAGAGATTTTTCCGGCGGCCGCTAAAACGTCTCCCTTGAGAATTCGGCCCTCAGGACCAGTTCCTTTAATTTTGGAAATATCCACTTCGAGTTGATGGACAAGTCGGTACACAGATGGCAGCAACACCATGTTTTCAGGAACCTCAACCGGTGTAGATCTGGCTGCAGGTTCAGGCTCTGGTGAGGAGGTGGGCTGCACGGGTTTCTCCGGTTGTTCCGATGTGGTATTAGTCGCCGGCTCGGCTGAGGAAACCACTGAGTCGAAATCAATGCTGGCAATATCGTCGCCGGGGTCAGCAAGAACGGCAATTGGGGTTCCCACCTTGATTTCTTTGGCGCCATCCTGGACAAGAATCTTCGCCATGACACCGTCATCTTGGGCCTCCACCGCAATCTGGGCCTTGTCGGTCTCAATTTCGAGCAGAACATCACCAGCAGCATACGAATCGCCCTGTTTTACCTGCCACTGCACGATTCCGCCTTCTGTCATGGTCGGTGACATCGCCGGCATGTCAAAGGCAACGGCTTTCCGGGCTACGAGACCACTTCCAAAGACTGAACGTTAGTATACTGTACACTAGACCAAATGCCGCCATCCAAACTTACATCTCGCTCGCTGCAGAGCATTTCCAGCAGATCGTGGCACCACACAACGAATCATTCAAGAATCTGATTCAACGTCCCACGTCTGACCCAACATTTAAAACCCCTCTCTCTACGACAGGCCCAACACCCCTGGCGGAAAAAATTAAGACAAATCGCTTAAGTAATTTTTTTGAGCAGTTTGCAGGTGCCCAAAAAAAAACCTTGAAAACAAAAGTTGGCCATAATGGCAAGTCTCGAGAAACTTTTGAGGGAATGTCCCGAGGATATTCTGTTGCCCAACGAAAATATACAGCGGGCGGCTGTAAGCGGTATTAAGGAGGCCCTGGATCCCGTAGCTGCCGACTATTCGGTCCTCGACACTGTTCATGTCGACGGTCTGGATGTGGATCAGGTCTGGGTGCAAGCACAGATGATTGTGGACAGCGCGATTGATAAGCTTTTCGGTCGCCTTAGTGAGCTCGCTGGTCCAGAAAGCGCTGAGGCTAGTGAATCAGAGAGTGAGCCTGAAGAAAAACTCGAGGGGACCAGCGAGCTTGAAGACGAGGCTAGCGAAGATGAGGCTGGATCAATCAGTAATGAAGACGATGACGACGAGGTTTTTGACGGCGTAGATGACTTTGACGAGGCAGACTTTGTGAATGAAGATGATTCGGAGCAGGGCGCTAAGGACAGTGACGAGAGTGAAGGCGAGGAACTTAGCGACCAGGAGCCCAAAACCGATTTGGAAAAACTAAACTCTGGTTTGTTCCAGCTTGAGGATTTCCAGCAACAAGTCCTTGCTCTTGAAAATGAGCCTCAAGAAGACGATGAGATTGACTATTTCGGCGATCTTCCCGAAGACGAGTCTGAATCCGACGAGGATGTGCGATACAACGACTTTTTCGCTCCACCCAAAAAGAAGACCAAAAAACCTGTCAGATCCAAGCCAACACAACAACCAGCAGCCGAGTTGGAGGACGAGGACAAGGTTGAGGAAGCCATGGAGTCTGCTCGGATGGACCTGTTTGCCAGCGAAGAAGATGAGGAAGAATTCGATGAAGAAGCCGGCGGAAAACTCAGTACCTTTGAGAAACAGCAGCGGGACCTAGAGCGTCAAATCGCCCAGCTCGAAGACGAAAACGTCGGGCAAAAAGAATGGGCTTTACGAGGTGAAATCACTGCCGGTCAGCGTCCTCAAGACTCTCTCGTCAATTCGGAAATTGATTTCGATCGTAATGCCAAACCTGCGCCGGTCATTACTTCCGAAACTACTCAAAACCTTGAGGATATGATTCGTGAGCGAATCAAAAAACAGCTTTTCGACGGCTTGGCTCGTCGCTTGCCAACCTCTGACCTCGCACATAAAAAGAATCGTGAACTTACTCAGGTTCAAGAGACCAAATCGCAGAAATCGCTGGCCGAACTCTACGAAGAAGATCAGCTCCGTAAAGAAAATCCTGACTACTTTGCAAAGCAGGACACCCAAGCCATGGACGCTGCCCACAAAGAGATCGTGGATTTATTTTCAGTTCTCAGTCGCAAGCTAGATGCTCTGTGTTCTTGGAACTACACTCCAAAAGCCCCCAAGCCTTCTATCAATATTGTTTCGGATGCTGCTGCTATCTCCATGGAGGAAGCTCAGCCCTCAACTATGGCAACTGAATCCATGTTGGCTCCTCAAGAGGTTTACAAAGCTTCTTCAGGATCCAAAGAGGAGGTCGTTGGGGCTAATGCTTTGCCAATTGCCAAAAGCGAGCTCACTCCAGACGAGCGCCGTCGTATGCGTCGCAGAGCCAAGGCAAAGGCTGCCAAGTCGAAATCGAAAACGGAAGAAGAGTCGAAGCCTGTTGAGAACAAAAAGGACAAGAATGCTATGTTTGAAACACTTAAAAAGGGCAATGTCACAATGGTGGACAAGAGGGGTCAAAAACGCGATATGCGCGGCAACCTGGTCAAAGAAAAGAAACAACTCACAGCAAGTCACGTCAAGCTTTAAATTATGTATTTTCGTTTTTAATTTTTATAGTAATAGAACTTGAAGCGGAAATCAAGCTGCAAGACGCCTCGCTCAAAGGTTGATCGATACCTCTCACTGCTATACCGAGGCTTGTCCCACGGTTCGTTCAAAATACAGAACTTGATATCTGGGTATCCATCAGCCACAAATTTTAACTCGGCTGTTCCGTTTGGTTGCTTGGTTGTTGTAAATTTTGGCACAGTGTCCGAGTCGCTTAGGCGAGGGTAATAAATAGAAAACTTGTATCCTTGAACCAAGTTCGATAAATGCGGCTCAGAGTAGTTGTGGGCCTGATAGTTTGCGTTTGAACCAACAATTGCTCTAGCAACATACTCAGCATCGCCGGGATCATTGATGGCTTCAAAAAGAAGCTCATTTTGCTCCATCTGAGACAATATAAACTCTTTGAATGGACTCTTGTCAGTCTTTTCAGGTATAGTGATACCATTAGAAACAAGCTTGTTGACTTTGTCGTTTATTTCATCAAAAGCCTTCACAGCTTTGGCAACTTGAACCAATTCTAAGACACCATTCCAATACTCTGGGTCATCTTCTTTTCCTTTGATCTCCGTCTCCAAACCCATCAATTCGGCGCGGGTTTTCGTTTTCATCAAGTTATCGACGTCTGGTTGCATAATTGTGACGGCTAGACGATCCTGATTCCGGTTGAGACGCATATTCAAGTAATTCGTCACGCTATTCCAAAATTCAACACTTTCGGCTCTTCTATCAACACTTTTGAAAGTTTTTACGGTATTCAGCAACTCTATCAGCTTATCATCAGCCAAATTATCGAGGATAGATTTTGGATTAGCCATTTTGGGGCACTCTCTAGATTCACGCTCAAACCCGCCATGATAGATTGCCATGTGGGCGCATAAAAAATCCTCCTCTGTTGCTCTGTTATCTATGACGCGTAAAAGAGCCGACTTTTGCAGTTGGTGAAGCTCAAACTCGTCTTGATTTGCGAGCCAACGATCATCAACATCGCTCATGTAAGACGCTGGCCACTGCTCAGTCACTACATTATAGAGCGAACTGTATGAGCGTCACGAGAACAATAAACTCGGCTATTTAGTCTGTATATAATGTAAACTTGAGTTATTTTTCATCACTTGGGCAATCATTGAGCTTCGGAGCACTAATAGTCGATGCGAGTTTTCGAACAAGATCTCCCACCGAAATGCTTGAGTCAATCAACACTATAGAACTACAACTACTCATCATCTTCTTCATCCAAATCCAGCTGGGAAACATCAATGGCCAAGTCGTTTTCGGCTTCTTCAGGGTCAAAATGAAGCTCTTCGTTAAGCTCTTCGTCCTGCTCCAGTTCTGCCAGAAACTCCTCATAGTCCTGGCTGTAACCAGGTGTAGCCTGTTTGATATCTGCTTCGGCATTGTACTCTTTAGCCATACGCATAAGACGACGCTTCGATTTTTTGGGCTTGTCTGGATACACCTTTTTCACCAAGATTATATCTGGGATCTCTTCAGGTTTCAGCTGATCCCATAAATCGTCGTTATAGTTTGCTGAAGTCAAATCATATCCCATTACGCTGTCGCCATCATGTAAGATAGCACCCAAGTGGGTGCGAAGGTAAAAGGTTGTATCACTAACCCCCAAATCTGATGCCCTCATAACAGTAATATCGGCCAGTGCAAACTTTCCCTCGGTTTGACCAGTAAGCTCAATATCCATGACAATATATTCCGTAAGTTTTCGACTGTTCGCAATAGAATTGAAGGGGCGTTTCCAATAGTCTGAAGCAGGGATAATCGTTTTCTGAAGCGTATTGGGGTCAATAAAATACAACGACTTGCTCACTTTATAGCATAGAACCAACAACGGCATATTTCCATGTTGTTTAGCAACCTGTTTAGGCAAAACAACCAAGTCCTCCCGGCAAATAGGAGCTATCTCAACGGAGTATGTGAATTTGTAAGACTTGGACCCTGTGTGTGTGTCTTCGGAGATGAACTGCTCGCTACGCTTGTATTTCATAGGAACGACAGTGGACAAAAAATCGAGCATACGGACCGCATCAGTCTTGGAGCCATAAAAGAAGTCAATTCCTTCTCGGCTCTCCTCAATCGACATCGTATCCTTGTGCGCCCTATTCTTCAAAATAAGCTGTTCCAAATACAAAAATGTCTTCTTGTGGTCAACCCGTTGACGAATCTGAACACTGGCCTGCCAAGTATTCGCTGTATATGACTTTGCACAATCCGGACATTGATTTGTATGTTCATGGAATTCTGCTTCATAGGACTGCTGGATAATCAAATTATTGTACTCTGCTGCTTCACCTTGAACAGTGACCTTGATTTTAGTTCTTCTGGAATGCGGCTCAGTCCAAATAAACCTCGCATCAACTAATTTGGCCTGACTATCTGAAAGCTTCAACTTTCGAAGACAGACCGACATTAGTTCCCGGGTTTCACGTTCGGCATACATCCAGCCGTTGGGTGGCACTTGAACTCGGCCACAGTTTTTACAAAACACAATAGATCCAGTCTTTACCAGATCC